GGTGCCTGCCTGTGCGGGGAGCCAGGCAGAGGGCTCCTGCAGGAGACAAACTGAATGTTTGGAGCTTTTATGGTGGTGGCAACAGGTAGTGCCTGGCTCTGCTGGTGTCCTTCTCCGTACTCATTGCACCTGGAGCCTTCGTGGCGTGTCCCTCTGCAGCCTTTGATTAAGGCTTTATAACGCTATTGATTATTGCTGTGACGGATGGACAGAACTGCCTCATTTTTTTTATTTTTTTAACACTGCTCTTAGAAAAAGAAGGAAAAATATTGCAAACCAGGTACCAGCAGCAAAAAGCATGATAGGAGGTTTAGACCTAGGATAGCAGAAAGAAGAAGGTTGAGGTTTGCAGTCGTGGTGCCTGCTCTAGCTGTGCAAAACTGCCACAGGGTCACTCGGTGGGTGCCAGGGTGCCAAAACCATCCTCACCTGGGGTCCTGGTGCCAGCGGGCTGGGGCTGGGGGAGCGGGGTGGGAGGCGAGGCCGGGATGGAGCGGCCGGACCTCGCACGCGCACTGCACACGCGGGGGGGGAAACTTGAAGTCAAATGTCTCAAAGTCAGATCCCTTTTTAGTATGAATTTGCTGTATCTCATTCTGAGCACTAATTCCAATTTAATTGCAAGTGGCCTGAAGCCTCTTCAATAGGAGTAACAAATGGTTTGATTTTGTAAACTTCATCAGACTGCATTTTAAATGCGACACACTAGCCCGGCTCGAATGCCAATGAAGCACTGAAGTAGCTCTCTGTTTACTAATTATCCGTTTTTACTTCAAGCCACGCTGGCTGGCTTGTCTGATTAAATCGGATTTGTGGGATAGAGAACAGCTAGCAGAGTTTTCTCTATAGTAAACGAGATTGAAACTATGGACCGCCTGGCTGCACACTGTAAATTATATTTCCTTTTAAAGGGGACGTGTCTCTTTTATTTCTTTGGCGTACCTCCTGCATGTTAAACTTCGTGGTACGGAAATGCACCGGGCTCCTTTTAAAAATAAAAGGAAAAACAAACCCGCATCCCTGCCATATGCCTATCCGTCTCCGAGCAAATTTTATTTTAATTCCTTCTGCTGTGGAGTCAGGGCATGGAAAAAAAGTACGAGGATTTTAGCATTCCTCACCAGAAGTTTGAAAAGGGAAGAAAAGTCCCTGAATAATGGGAAATGCATCTTGCTTGCCTTTAAATCCGCGGTGATGCACAGCTCACAGCGCCTGTTTGGGAGCGGTCTTTGAGGAGACCGAAGCGTGCATATCCACGCGTGCAGCCGCGGTCTCGGGGCTTTTCCTCCCCCGAGCAAGTATCAATCCTGTAAAAATCAGATTTCAAATCACCTGTTATTTAAAGCTGCCTTGCACAAATCAGGCGGCGCTCTCTTCCAAATAGTTAATGTTGCGTCCAAAATCTAATCTACATGGCAGACTATTGCTCCTGCCTTGGAAACCCGCAGCCCTGGTACATGCTGTATTAATTGTTTACTGCTGCAAGCTGGAGGCAAACAGCACACAGGCTCTTAGAGGAGAAAAAAGGGAAGATGGGAGAAGGTGGCTATTGAATGCGGCGTAATAGGGCTGTGCTTAAACCTCCACTGTTGCTAAGACTTTAATTCCACAAGCTTGACCTATTCTGCCCTCTCTCTTGGTATCTATCTTTGTGCCTAGAGCTTTTTATATTTTAATTTGCTTTTGAATGTCCTACAAAATTAATGGTATACTTTTTGCCATTGTGCGGTGTACAGTACAGGGAAGGCCCCGTGGTGTTCGCTGATAGCCGCGTTTCCCTGGAAATGAATGGTCACCGCACTTTCTGTTCCATATTCGCCCCTTTTAATTGTTGACAGTAAAAAGCGTTTAAATGCTGCTTAATTTGTAATCATCTTCCAGAAAAAGGAGAGAAACCATTAAAATGTCAGTGAAATGAATAAATCCGTCTTCCTCTTTTTGTGCCTATGTGGCGGCAGCAGTGTTTATTTATCGGGGGTGATTTTTCTTTCAATGCCTGGGCATTCAAACCTCCCCGTGGCTCCAAACCCACGGGGTGCCGCCGCCGTGCTGTGGGGAGGCAGGGGCTGCCCTGCGCAGGACGTGGGGCACCGGTGGGTTTTCCAGCATCACCCCCTTTTCTCGTGCTGTCAGGTCTTGCACCACGAGCTCAGCTGTTGGAGATGGGCACATTTGGGGTGGCTGGCTCTGCTTTTGACCTGTGCTACCCCACAGCATCTTCATCCTTCCTCCTTGGCAGGTCCCCAAAGCTGCTCATTCCCTGCACTGGGCACCCTTTTGGGTACAGAGCCACTCTGCTGCCCCCGTGCTTGCTCAGGTGTTCTTGAGGGGTCCTCCCAGACATCTGCCAGGGCTGGGCTGGAGGGGACCAGAGCTGCCCCAGGCCCAGCCCATGAGGGCAGGCAGCACAGCAGAGATGGGGGCTCTCCAGAAAAAGCCATGTCAGCTCTTTCCATGATGCTAAATAAACACACAATGTAAATCAACTTAGTTTGCTGGATGCTGAGTGCGGACAGTGCCCAGCAGAGCCACCTGAGGCCTGCCTGAAGCCGTGAGCCCTGCTTCTCGTAGAGCCCCCTCGGTTGTGCCACAGGGCTGCAGATGAGTCGTGCCTGACCCTGTGTCCTCCACAGCCCTGGCATGGCCACATCCTGCTGCGTGGCGCTGAACTGGGTAGGTCAGGGTGGGGTACGGGGTCCCCTGGCTGTTGCCTCCATCCTGTGCCACCGAGCTGGGCTGTCCTCAGCCTTCAGACCCGCTGCATGGCCACCGCTGGTAGCAGGTGGCCCCCACAAGCCACACCAGTGCCTCATCGGCCTCCCCATTAAGGGTCTTTTATCAATTTATTTGCTAATGCATAGCCAAATAAATAAATAAATGAGCATTTCCTGGTCCTGGCGGGCAGCACCCCACGGCAGCACTGCCTACAACCCCCTTCTCCCTCTTCTCTCTGACGTCCCCATCCTGGGGCAGCTCTGGGTCAACGTGTCCCCGGCCACCCGTCCCCAACCAACCGTCCCCTGCCCACCCCAGCAGCTGGTGGCCGTGTCCCACCGGCGCCTGGGCTTCCTCTGCCCGCGCTCACAAGGCAACTCCTCTCCGGCGCAGTGGCGGCGGCCGAAGTTAGCCCAATTTTTCAAGCGGGGGCCAATTAGTTTCACAAATGAGGGCCCTATGGTGCCAAGGAGGATTTGTTCCGGGCCTGCGCACTGGCCCGGCGGCATTGTCCTGCCCCCACCCCCGCGGGAGCCCATTGTCCCCGGCCCCAGCGGGGCTGCTCCTGGCGGATTGATGGGGGCCGGCGTCCCGCCGGCCGGGGCCCCCGCAGCACAGCTGGCCGCGGCGCAGGGGCTCGGCCCCACCGACCTCTGACCCATCCTGCTGTCACCGTGAGAGCGCGGCCGGGCTGCATACCGCTCGGGATTTGCTCCGCGCCACCCGTTCGGGCGGGCTTTGTGTCTCACGGGTACTTGGGGGAGTTTTGTCCGCAGCTGCGAGCAAGCGCACGTCCCCCAGATAAATCCACGGGGAGAGAGGAGGCGGCATCTTCACTAGGGCCATCTCGCTGCCCTGTGTTTTTATTTGTGGTTTTGTGATTTTTTTCACATTTTTGGCATCACTCACCTGCCCGATGTACGCCTCGCCAATCGGGGGATGGCCAATACCAAGCAAAGTCCCCAAAAAACATAAGTGTGCGTGGGCCGTGCCTGTGGAGGAGCAGCTGGTGGCCAGGGCACGTCTGCTGGTGCCACGGTCACTGTGCAGGTCCCCGTGCATGCAGAGCACAGCCCCGTGCTGTCCTGCTGATGGACACAGCTTTGCCTTCAGGGGCACAGAACTGTCCCCACGCCGCTCCCAGGGCACTTTGCCACCAGCACGGTGCAGGAGAGGAACCATCCCCTGCCTTCAGTGTGCCCTGGGGCTTGGCAGGGCGGTGCTGTGGGCACCAAGGACCTCGCAGCACCCGGGGGCTCTCCCAGGTCCCCTTGGCCTTGCAGTGGGGACACAGCCTCACACCCGGCTTCCTCTCGGATTAATTTTGGCACAGCAAGGAGCAGCCCCCCCAAACCCGTTGTTTCTTCGAGGTGTCGCCTATTTGTTGGTTACCTTGAACATCTTGCTGCTGCTAATGAATTGCTAATACAATTTTCTAGATAATTTTATTTCCATAGTCCTCACATTTTAATGTCTCCAAAAAGCTAGCATTTATTTGCTTAATCTCCCAGTGTAATACAATTTGCACTGACTCATAGGTTCTGAACAATCAGCTATGCATAAACTAAAACAAATTGTTTAATAACACAAAGGTCTTATATTTTTATTGACGGTGCGTAAGTATCTCTAGTTGTGTTTTTGTTTTTTTTTTTACTCTTGCTCTTCTGGTGATGCAGCCAATTTTATAATTGTGTGTGACTCGTAGGATTAAGCTTCTGTTGGTATTACCACTAAGGGTCGGGAGCTGTGCTGGAGGTGTGCTTGTGGTCCTGCATTCAGCCCTCTGGCACCCAGAGAGGCTTTGCACAGTGCTCACACATGCGGTGTTTCTTCGGGTCCTGTTTCCACCTGGCTGTTAGGAGCTTTGAGCTCCATTTTCCACAGGTGCATGCAACAGCACATCAGAAGATGGGTAATTACACCAACAGCTGCTTTGCGTTTGGGTTGGGGGCGTGGTGCTGCCGGGAGCTGTGGGGCTGGGCTGTCACCTACAGCGAGGGGCTTCCACCTGCGCCCAAAGCAATAAAATCCCCCTGCCCTCTCCTTGTACTCCTTCTCCATGCTGTGAGGCTGGGATCCCAGCACCATCTGCCCTGCGTGACCAGGCTCAATCTTCTTGAAGCAGGGATTGTGCCACCTGGGAGCGGGGGCTGTGGGTCTCTGCCCCTTGCACCATCTGGGGATGCATCGCATTGCTCGGCAGTGATGCGAGTGGTGTCCCCGCAGCACCTCTGCCACGGGAGGTGCCCGGGCGATGCCTGAGGCCTCTGTCTCCTCTCCCGCAGGTACGGACATGGCTGTGTTCTGCCTGCTCTGCGGCAAGCGCTTCCAGACGCAGACGGCCCTGCAGCAGCACATGGAGGTGCACGCAGGGGTGCGCAGCTACATCTGCAGCGAGTGCAACCGCACCTTCCCCAGCCACACCGCCCTCAAGAGGCACCTGCGCTCCCACACAGGTACTGCTGGCTGCCCCACCGAGGGCTGCCTTGGTCTCATCTGGCTCGGTCCCGCAGCACGGGGTGGGGGTCAGGGTGCTGACAGCGTCCAAGGAGCCCCTATTTGGGTCCCTCTACCCTAAAGCAGCAGTTTAGAGCAGGAGAGCCCTACTCAGAGGGGTTTCCAGCTTGCTGTCGGCTGGGGATGTTGCTGAGCTATGGGGTGGCTGTGGGGAGCAGGGGTGGGTGCTGCTCACATCCCTGCCTGCTCTCTGGGTTTGCAGGAGGGACCTGGAGGAGTGTTTCTCTCTGAAGGGCTGCAGGAAGTACAGGACAGGGCTGTTTCTCCCTTCACGTTGCTTTTCTTTTCCTTTTTTTCCTATCTTAAATAATGCCAAGGCAGCTGTCATCCCCAACTGAGGCTGTTTGGATTTAAATGGAAAACAACAAAACAAGGTGGAGGGGGGGGGAAAAAAGCCCAGAGTAATAATTTGATCCGTTATAAGGTGACATGTGACCTTCTTAGGGGATGGGCGATCTTACCCCACTTCATCGGCTTAATCACAGTAGATGCACATAATCAGCTGGTACTCGGCCCTAATGGGATTAGGGTGACCTGTGCTACGTGTATATGGTATTTACATTGCACGCCCACTGAGGTGCTTCTGGGTTAGAGGAGAGCCGGGGTGTGAAACCGTGGATTTGACCGCATTACACGGTGTCCTCAAACCACCTGCCTGAGAGCTGCTGTGCTGCTGACAGCTCCCAGCACCGCGTCCCCAGGTCCTGTAGGGCCACAGTGCCACCTCGCAGGGACCCACAGGCAGTTTGTGTCTGCTGGGAGTCGGTGTGGTGTGATTCGGGCTGCAAAACTTCAGTGTAGGAGAAAGCAGCTCTTAAACTGTCAGACTGTCCCGTGTGGGAAATGGATGTGAGTTCATCCGTCAGGTTGAGAGGCAGGGATGGAAAGCTCAGGGTTGGGAAGCTGCCTAGTGTGGGCCATTTGAGTCTTGGGAAAAGCAGGCACCAAAGAAGGACCTTTCATCCCATGGTTTCCCCAGTTGTCCCTGCAAGCACCCAGCAAGGGCTGGAGGCTGCAGCCAGCTCCCTCCCCACCAGCCCCTGCAGCAGGTTCTGCGCTCCTGGCTGAAGCTGGGGGCAGGGGGAGGCTCCTGCAGCCCCTTTGCAGCCACAGCTGGGTGCACCAAGCTCTGCAGGGCTTCTGCGGTCCCTGCTTGCTCCATCCCCAGCAAGGAGGCTGCTCATCCCCTCGCTTGCAGCCCAGAGGATGGGTCTGGAGCCTCGCAGAGCCCGGCACGTGCTGCGGCACGGCGCGTTGGCAAGCCCAGAGAGCGCTGACCCCTCGCCCAGCTCCGTGATTAGCGGGATTGTGCCGCGCTGCACGGCGGAGAGCTGGCCTGTAATTTGCAGCCCGGCTATGAATCAGAGCAACTGAAATTGCTTTTTCCAGCGGTGGGGAGGCGGGGATGGTTTGCAGGTGGGTGGAGGAAATGCTCCTCTCCCATCCCTTCCCACACCAGTCGCAGGCTCGTGCTCTGGCTGCAGCGTGGTAGCGGGGGGAGGCGGATGAACATTGTCTGCATCTCTTTTCCTTCCTCTTTTTAACCAGCTTCCAGCGTGCACAGATGCTGGCTGCATGGGGAAGAATCAGGGGAAGGTGTCCCTGTCCTGGGCTGTCGGTGGTGCCTGTTGGCCCTAGCACGTGCCCCTGTGTCTGTGCTCCCAACCAGGAAAACCAGAATCACGCCGTGATTACGAGTCCCTTAATGCCACGTGGAAGAGCTATTCATAGCAAGTAATCCACTGACCCGGGCTCCAGGTCGGGCTGTGTGGGTTCTGCCCCAGCCTCCAATTGTTTATTAGCTCTTGGCTAGAAAATAAAAATCCCGGATCACCAGAGCTTTATGATTTATTTATTTTCTGCGGTTCCTTTCGGAGAGGGAGCACAACGCAGAGTCCACAGAGGAGCCTGGGAATGTGGTGCCCAGCTCCATGCTGACACCCTCACAGTATCCCGGAGCTGTACAAAAGACAAATTTGGGGTTTTCTTTTCACTGTGGAAAGGACAAGGGCTGCAGCCCTTACAGGTGGTCCCGTTTCTGCCAGCCCCCTTTCTGGTGAGTGGGTCAGGGTGAGAGAGGAGGGAGTGCCTGTGTTGTGCCTAAGAAGTTACATGGGCTTCTCTGCTTATTTTTAAACCAAACACTTGCTCTGATTTCCTTAGTGCTGTGGTGCAAACAGTTCCATCTGTCTGCCTCCATTTCTTGCCTGGAAAATGGGTACAACCAGCATTTCCCCCACCTCTTGCTCTCTGAAACCCCTTTGGCCACAGCTTGCATCCCCGCCACCTGCCTTGGACCCAGCAGCAGCCCGTGTGGCTGCTCTCAGCGTAGCATCAGCAGCTGTGCTCAGCCCTGCCGGGTCCCTGCTTTCTGCAGCTGGCCGTACAGTAAGCACTGTGCAGGGCAGGAGTGGTGTGCTACGGCCCCAAAGCCCATGGAACAGGCAAGGGCTCCAGGTAGCGATGTGGAAATGGGGTCACAGGTGCCACAGGCTGGCCAGAGGGGCTCTAATTAGTCCCCTTTGTCCTTCATTCAATGTCAGGCTCATTAAAGACTCTGCGAAGTTAATCAACATGCCACAAATTGGATTTATTTTTTTTTTTCCCCGCTTCTGCAGCCAGTCCTGAGCTGCAGGGACTTGGGTCCCGTTAACGTCCCCACGTCGAGGTGGCAGCCAGGGCTCTGCAAGTACAGTTTCAGTCAGTCTGGCTCTGGAGATGCCATATTTAAACTCATTTGCCATGCGACCACATTGATAATTAAATTCATGAAGATCCCGTCAAACTAGCTCCCGAGTTTAACACTGCGTTTAAAGTACCAGGGTGCTATAAAGAAGCAGCAGGAGGAAAAAAAAAAAAAATCACTGCTCCCATCCGTGGCAGGGGCTAAACAAGTGAATCATTCACCTGGCTCCTGTTTGCACATGTTCTCTTAAAAACTGAGCAAATGGAAGCCCTGCCTGGGCTGACAGGGGCACCTGGCTGTGGCATCAGTGCCTTTCGCTCTGGGAACGAGCAGCCTCATCGAAAACGGAGGCAGTAAGTGAGAATTGGGCAAGGGGAGGTGAAATGCCTCCTCAGCCCCTGGCTTTGTGTCAGGGAGCCCTGAGCTGCTGCTGCTGCAGCCTGCGTGATGTGGCGTGGTGAAAAGATACACGCTGGTTTTGGGGTTTCAGGGTGGGAGGTGTCACAGCCCCCTGGGCTCGGTGCTGGTTTGTGGCCCTGCACAAAGCACCAGGACGTGTCGGCGCTCGGTGCCCAGCTAGGGCACGGGCAGGGGCTCCCTGCGGCAGCTGCAGGTTTGGTCTTTGGGGCTGGGGAGAGAACAGGCAGAGAGTAAAATATCATTGTAAAGAGGAAGTGAAAGCACAGGCATGTGAGTATATAACTAGAAGGACAATTTATGCCCAGGCACGAGTGCAGTTTGACATGGGGATAATGAAAAAACGTAGGTCATTGTGGATGACTTAAGCCTTCACAGCTGAAGAAAATGTATGAAATGCGAGGAACATTACACGCTTGGCAGCTCTGCACATCTGCAGTAGGACAAGTGAAATACAGTTGGCCATTCTTTACCATAAACTGTGGTTGTAGGATATGCAGCACAGAGAAATTGTAATTACAGTGACAAGACAAATCAGTAATATTTAAATATTCATGAACAAAGTCTTGGACGATCAATCTATCTTTATTGTCCTTGCCTTCACTGCTGTAATAAATAAGTAGCTGGAGCCCTCACCTTTCATTCAAATAATTCGGAGTTTGGTGCTGAACTGAAGTTCATTTATCAGCCGCCCGATCTGGAGGGTGTTAAAAACAGACGTGGCTGGGGGGCTGCTGCGGGCAGGGCTCTGGGCGTGTGGGTGAGGATCTGCACGGGGGCCCGTGGGGTTCGGGGCTGCCCCACACCGCTCCCCAGTGTGGTGTGGGAGGGGGCTGATGTGCGTGTGCTTGCAGGCGACCACCCCTACGAGTGCGAGTTCTGCGGCAGCTGCTTTCGGGACGAGAGCACCCTGAAGGGCCACAAGCGCATCCACACCGGGGAGAAGCCCTACGAGTGCAACGGCTGCGGCAAGAAGTTCAGCCTGAAGCACCAGCTGGAGACCCACTACCGGGTGCACACAGGTAGGTGCCACCCTGGCACAGGGGGTGCAAAGCTCTCCAGCAAGCCCCGGGGAGGAGGGAGGCAGACGCTGTGCCCGCGGAGCCCGGGCTGGCTGCTGGGGATAATGAATCATTGAATGCGTCAGCGTGTAACTATTGTAAATAGTGGATCAATATTTAGATCACTTTTGCTGTTCATTACTTCATTATTCGCTGTGTCTGTGCACAGAGCGAGTATCGATATCGGGCAGGCTGGGCAGTTAATTACTGCGGTGGAGCACGGCCCCGAGACCTCACGCGTTACCCAAACGGGGCTCAGCGGCCACCCTGACTGATGCCACCCCTTTGCTCCCCGTGTCCTGCAGGTGAGAAGCCCTTTGAGTGCAAGCTGTGCCACCAGCGCTCCCGGGATTACTCAGCCATGATCAAACACCTTAGGACCCACAACGGCGCTTCCCCGTACCAGTGCACGATCTGCCTGGAGTACTGCCCCAGCCTCTCCGCCATGCAGAAGCACATGAAAGGCCACAAGCCGGAGGAGATCCCCACCGACTGGAGGATAGAGAAGACCTATCTCTACCTCTGCTACGTCTGAGGGACACGGAGGGAACGCGGGGCTGAGTTGCGGAGGACTGGGCAAAAAAAAATGCATCGTCCATGGCCTTTTGTTTCCGTTTTTCGTTTGTTGCTGTTGCTAGAAGGATCCTCTTGCTGGGTTTGCGGCCGGGAAGGCGCTGGCACGCGGCGCTCGCTGTGGGGGTGGCGGGGGGCACACGGCAGCGCTGGGACAGACAGGGACGTGCGAGCTGCCCTTCGCACCCGTGGGCTCTTCCCCTTCCCCACCCCTCCTTCCCAGGGCTCGTGGGCGCAGGGTGAGGGGCCCGTGTCCCCTTCTGCCCTGAATCAGATCCGCTCCTGCGAGCCAGCAGCCAGCCCTGCCCTGCTGGAGGTGGTGCCGGGACAGTTGTGAACAAATGGTGCGCTTCGTGCCTCGCCCCCAGATTTTGCATATGACCAGTGGTTTGGGAAGGCTTTAATTTTATTTTTTTTCCCCTCTATCATCACCAGTAACCCCCTTCAGAGGAGCTGCTGCAGACCCGCCTGCTCCAGCCAGTGTCTGCCCTTGGCACCCCGGGGTAGGCACAGGTGCTGCCCTCAGCTGCAGGGTGGTGACCCATGGGCTGAGCCCCACTTTCAGCAGCTTTCCTGCCCCCCCCCAAAGCTGCTGCCTCGCAGGGAGGGCACCAGCCTCAACACACAGCCAGCGAAGCATCCGTGCGGGCAGTGCCCTGAGTGGGTGCTGCTCTGCAGGGCACTGAGCCCGGAGGAAAGCTCTGGGGCAGTGGGGTGGGGGCCAAGCGTGGGCTGGTGCTGGTGCTTGTGTCCCCCCCCAGTAAACGCTGCTGCTGCCTTGTCCAGGGCATAGACACCAGCTGTGGGTGCCGCAGGAGACCACGACCCTCCTCCTGACCAAAGACCTTTCTATGCATTTTGTTTTTCCTTTTCTTCTTTTTTTTTTTTTTTGGGGGGGGGGGGGGGGAAGACGAAGCCTTCAGCGGGAAGATGAAGCCGGGGACTCCAGCGGCTGTGTGCTCGTCCCTGTCCCCGAGGGGAGCTGCAGCTCCTCCCTTCCCCGTGTGCCAGGATGACCCCCGGGATGCCGCTGGTCCCTGGGCGAGGTGACGGTGCCACCAGAGCCCCCAGGCAGCGGGCACTGCGGTGGTGCTGGGGGGGGGGGTGGCGTGGAGCTCTGCTCCCACAGGGAAACTCTTTTTCTTTGCATTTCGGGTGTTTGGAACGTGCCAATGCTTTTTTTGCCCAGCCCTCAACTCCTGGAGTCTGTGGAGGAGCGGACGGTAACAGATGGCTTTGCTCTGTGTTTGTTTTTTATTTTTTGCTTTTCGTTTGTTTTTAAAGTTTTTTGACTATTTCTGTGTTTAGCACATTTTACTTGAAATTACCTCGTTTTTTTGTGACCTCATGAGCTTTTATTGATTTTTTGGGGGGCGGGGGGGGGCGTTGTTTTAAATGACGGGGCCAGGTAAAGGCCATGTCAGGGGCTGGTGACGTGTGGTGGCAGAGCTGCCAGGGCAGCGGTGGAGGGGATCGTGCGCTGGGTCTGTGTCAGCCACCTCGTGTGCATTATCGTTACCAAAACTGGTATTTTTTTTTGAGTGGCCTGATGGAGCCTGGCTCACCGATTCAGAAAGCTACCTCTTGTGTTCGTTTTTGTTGTGTTCTGATTTTGCAGTGACAGAAGCACAGTTTGCAATATTTGTGTTTTGCTTTGTGATGTCATTTCAGTTTTCATCTCATGCTTTACTTGCAATTGTGTATTTTTATTATTTTTTTTTATAATTTAGCTGCGTTTGTATTAAACGGGGGGCGGGAGGGGGAGGGAAAGAGTTTAGGGAAAGGTTTCTTAGATGGGAGTAAAGGGAAGAGAGCGGGGGTGTCTGTACTGCTGTACCCGGCCCACCCCTGCCCCCTCACTGTTGGGAAACATGAAGGCCTTAAACTGGGGCGGACGCCGTCATGCAACAGCGGAGCGGGGCAGGTCCCGGCCTAGCGCCGAGTTAGTGCTTTGGGAAGGGGAGCGTTAAACTTGAATATGTGACGAGAGCAGTCGAGCGTCGTTCATAATGTGAAAGCCGCCGGCCTGCAGGGCATCGCCGGGGCGAGTGGGGAGCACCAGCAGCGCCGCGGGGCCTGGGGCTGAGGCCTGCAGCTCACCCCGCTTCTCCTGCGGCCCTGTCCCTCAGCAGGGGTGCAGCTGCTCCCCTCGCCCCGTGATAGTTTTGTAATCCTCGTTAGTCCCTGGGATGTCCCCCTGCCTTCTGTGGCTGTGCCGTGGCGTTGTGTGGCTGCAGCCGGGCGGTGGGGGGGTGGCAGCACCCACGCTGCAGCATCCCCGTGCTCGTGGGGGGTCGGGGGGGCTGTGTGGGAGCACCCGAGCAGCAGCGCTGCCTCCAGCCCCTGCCAGGGGTGTCACTGATCACCCCAGGAGCCTGTGGAGCCACCCCAGGAGCATCACCTCCTGCGCCCGTGTCCGCGCGGCGGCACTTGCGACTGGTGACACCTTTTGCTGCTCCACGCTGAGGAGGAGAAGCAGGGCAGATGCTGATTTAGTACAATCCAGGATGTAATATTTTTTTTTGGAGAATGGCTTGTTTAATCTTTGTGCCTAAAAAAAAAAAAAAAAAAAAAATTAAAAAAAAAAATAACACAACACAGTTCTTTCACATCAACAGTTGCTGCAATTTCTCACAAGTACGTGGTACCTTTTTGCAGTGAATTGGTACTGCCGGCCGTGGGTGTCATGGTACTGCTGAGCACTCAGCTGAGCTCACGTGGCTTTTTTTGCTTTAATGTCCCCTCCCCTCTCGTTGTCCCCCTCCCTCCCTTACCGTAGACGTTGGCATAGCTGGCTTCAGAGCTCAGCACGGTGCGAAGCGTGAGTTTGGAGTCCTGTGAGTTCCCAAAACGAGTGCGACGAGTCACTGGAGGGCTCTGTCCGGTGACAAGTCATCAGGCAGGGCGGTGACGAGGCGGTCCCCCCGCGCTGGAGCCGCTCTCCTCCCGGGGAGCCGGGGAGCGCAGCGCTCCCTGCCCCGCGCCCAGTGCCAGTGTTCGGGTGTGCATCCTAGTATTTGTTCCACATAGTGTTACGTATGCATGATCTAAGGCTACGAAGCCATGGTAAAGCTCCATGACACCTCTCCATATATATATAAGTATATATATGTATATTATAGCACTGAGGACCAACTGCCCTGCTGGACCAAGCAAACTAAGGCTTTCTTTCGTTGCTTGTCTTTTATGTCGTGACAGCCCAAGTGCCAGTCTGATTGCTCTGTATTAAAACTAGTGTTTTGAATTAATTGATGTTATAGTTCCGTCTACCTCAGCACCTCCTGGTAGCCTCATTTTAGAAGGTGCCCAATTTTTTGTTTTTGTTTCTTCAGAGTATTGGTTACTATTTTTTGTACAACTCTGTTTCTGTTTCCTCGCTGTTTGTTTCTTTGCAGTACTGCTTGCGAGTCCTATCTGTTCTCTAGCCACAGATGCAGTTAGCTAAAATTTCCTGAAAAATGAATTAAAAAAAGTCCCGAGTTGTGGTGTCTCCTAGTTGCAGCTCTCCGCATCTGCCTTCATTCTGTGTAGATTCAGATGCATTTCTTTGTAAAACTTCAGTGTTTCTGACAGAGGAAAAAAAAAAAGAAAAAAAGAAAAAAAAAAAGGAAGAAAAAATATACTGCTGCAGGTTTTTTTCTCTCCATGTGTCACTAAGTGAAGTTCGTGCCTTCTATAGCAAAGAGAATATTTTTTACATCCTACTAACAGTAGATTTTTTTGTAGTGGACATTTTTTGTATTTTTATTTATAAGTCTCATAAGGAAAATAGCAATGTTCAGTTGTATACCTTGAATCTGCAGTTAGAAGAAACAATAAAGTTAATTCAGTTGTCTCGGCCTGTCGTCTCCTGTTGCTGTTCTCCGCTCAAACGCCACCCTGCTGGGAGGAGGAAGAGGAGGATGAGGAGGATCAGGAGGACGCGGTGACAGTAGCCCCCTCCAGACCAGGGCATGTGCCGTGCTGATGGTATTGGGGTGCCAGCTTGCTGCTCCTGCAGGATGGGTCCCATCCTTAAAATCCTGCTCCCCAGCAGGCTCCTGTTGACTGATGCCATCGTGCTGGTGGGTCTCGGTGAGGATGGGGTGGATGGGGCAGGGGATGAGGAGCACTCACACAGGGGGGTCCATCCCTGCACACCTCCTGGCCCAGGCACCACCTCAGGGATGATGGGGGCTGGCAACTGCGAGCAGGGAAGAATTCGTGGCCCGCTCTCGTCCCCATTTCTGGGGCATCTCCAGGGGTAGGGGGATGCCAATGGCCCCATGATGGGGAGGAAATCCCAGTGCTGGGGGTCCAGCACAGTAAGTAGGAGCTGGTGTTTTTGTGAGGATGTGCAGCCTGGAAGATGCTTTTCCATGGAAAATCAAGGTGTGCAGTCATGGGTCTCCAGAATTTCTTTTTCATTAAGAGCCACGAGCTCCTAAAAAGCCTGGTTCTTATTTATGCAGGAGTTCCTTCGTGCTTTGGCATAGAAGAGGGTGCTTATGGTGCCAGAAATTAAACGTGCCTCCTGTTTTAAAGTCCCTTGGCATCCCTGGAGGCCGTTTTATCGTGCACTGTGTGGTGCTTGACAGGGTGATTTGCTGCTGTCCTTTATTTTTTTGTTTAAGGAGAGAAGCAGAGGCATGTACAGCTCTGTGATTTGGGTTCTGAAGGCAGAAGGGGTGCTGCTCCCCATCCCTGCAGTAAGGCTGCCTCTGCCTTGGTGGGATCGTGCACACCCAGCTCCTGCCTGCCCCGGGAAGGGGTGTGCAGGTGGAGAGCTGGGCGCAGGCTCCCCGTGGGGCTGCCTGGATGCTGCCGAGGGAGCATCCAGGAGCAATTCCTGGCAGCCAAGCCGATCCCCAGCTCCCTCCTGGTGCAGGGTGTGTGGGGTGCATGGGGTGCACCCCTCTGGCCCCGCTCGCTGCTGCCAGCACGGGCGCTGCTGCTGCATGCGCGGCTCCCCAGGGAGCTGAGCGAGTTTGCCTCAATGAAAGTGAACTCGTTCATTTAAACCTGACTGTAGAGTAGTCTGGCCCCCCGCTGTGTTAATTATCCTGTAGTTCTAAACTGATTGCTGTACACTAAGCTTAAGCCCTCCTTTATTTATTTACTGACTACATTAACAGCAAAGTCTGCACTCCTTTTATGTCGCTGCAAACTGTACAGCACGCGGCGTGCGGCCAGGCAGGAGCCGGGAGCATCTCCTCCTGCCCTCGGGGAGCCAGGCTGGGACCAGGACGGGGTCACACACTCATCGTGAGCAACTTACGGTGCGGAGACACTTGATGTAACATTTATTTTTTAGGTGATGGGTGGAATGCAGCAGGCTGCTGGGTGCTGGCATCGAGTGCAGGCTCTTACCATGCCCTGGGGACGGGGGAGCCACGTGCCTGCCCCGCAGTCCCCACTGGGGACAGATCTCCAGCTCCCCCAGGACATGCTGTGTCCCATCCCATGCTCCTTGCTCTGCATCGTGCTGCTGCAGGACACAGCCATCCTGTGGGACATTGGGATGGTTTTTTGCCCGTGGAGGTGTCAGAGGTGATGTCCAAGCCTGGGCTCAGGTAACAGCCCCGAGAGCTCCCTCCCAGCACAGCTCATCCCAAGGAGGTTTCGGGCACCTCTGGTTGAGGTGAGGTGTTCCCAGTGACCTGCTCTCTGCACCAGTCCCTTGCAAAAGGGAGGGATAAGATTCTGCTGCAGCGTTTGGCCTCATACAAAGGAGTTATTATAACAGGGAAATTGTCATAGGACTGGGCCTTTGTCTGCACATTCACACAGCAGCTGGGAGTGATTATGCTGCAACAATGTTCTGTTCCATCAACATTATGTCCTCATTAAACCTTTATTAGTAGATTAGATTCAGATTTATTGATTTTTTTTTTTTTTTAAGAGGAAAATCCAGGCTTATTTCAGAGAGATGCCTGTAACTTTTCCTGCATGCAGCACTTCCCAAAGCAGCGTGAGGGAAAAGCACTATCTGTAAGGGAAAAAAAAAAAAACTAGATGCTTCCTCCAGCTCTGGCAGACTCCTTTCCCACGGGGGACCTGTGGAGCAGGTGAGGGTTAGCAGCTCTGCACAGGGTTAGGTCACACGCAGGGCCACGTCACAGGGCTGGGATGGCTGGAAAATGGAGCTCCTGCGCTGCGCCCGTGCCCGGATGGCCACTGGGATCCAGCCACCAGCCGGGAGCTGTGGCAGCAGAGGTGAGCCAAGGGATGGCACGGCTCCACGGGGCACGGTGTGGCTGAGGAAGGCGATGTGGTGGCCCTGCCGACCTCAACCCAGGTCCCGTGCGGGCAGGAGGCACCGCGCACCCGGTTCAATGGGCCCATTGGATTTGTCTGTTGGAGCGTTTGATGTTACATGAAGGCGGCTCATTCCAGAGGGTGTTAATTGCCCGCTGCACTGATCAGGTCTGTAGCACCATCGATCTCAGTAGGATCAATGGGCTGATTTAGTGTCTCACGAACTCTTTAACTGGACACCTCATCAATAGACAGCCACTTACAGACCATCAGCACATTAGCGCGGGCCAGCGCTGCCAGGAGCCCGCGCCACCCGTCCTGCAGCCCTCCTGTCACTCAGCAGGGAGTTTTCCTGCAGGTGAAGGCTTGGGAGGGTGTCAGGCCTTTGGATCATGCTTGGTGGGCTTGGGAGCAGGCACGGGAGAGCCGGACCCCGCGATCTCTCTGTCTGCCCTGCTGCCTGCGGTCTCCATCCCTGCTGTGCACAGAGGAGCCACCAGAGCAAACGGGATGGGGCCTCCCTTCATCTCCAACCTTCCTGAGGATGGTGCCTGCTCTGGGTGCACAGGTAAGTACCAGTGTGGAGCGCACACCCCTGCCTGCATGGGGTCTCAGCCAAGCATAGTAGGGCTGGGAACCACCCCACAAATGCCATCAGTATCACTTTTTCTCTCAGTGGTTGTCACAACTGCTCCCAGCTTGGAAACAAACGGAGGTACCACGTTGGGCAGATCGTCTCCTTCCAATTTTGGCTCAAATCCCAGTCCTGCTGCTCTCAGCTACAGGAGGAGCTTTTCTCTCCTGTTAGATGGCAGCTTTATGCCTCTGCCCTGGCAGAGGTGCACAGAGGGAGTATATTTACTTATATTTACTTAGGGCAGCTGTGGAAGCCTGCGGGAGCAGAGGACCAGGGTGGGTAACCCCCTTGGTCTCTTCCAGCACCGCATTCCTATGGAGACGGTCCCATTTGCACTTTTTGTGCTGTTTGGGTTCACTCTTTGGGTTCACTGTCCCTGCTCTGCCAGTTCTCCCCCAGTCCCTGTACTGCTGGGCAGGAATGTTGGGGGGGGCTCTGCCGGTCAAGCATGCAAAACACTCGGGTGGGGGCCGAAAGAACCATGCAGAGCCGGGCGAGCAATAAAACGGAGAATGGGGACCCCCCCAGTGCGTTGTGCAGGGCGGTGAAGCGTGAAACGAGGGGCTGGGAAGGAGCCGGGGGGGCAGCAGGAAAAAACCCTGGGGAAGGGCTCAAGGAGGAGAGACCCCCCCAAGGCTCCAGGTGGGTGCCCTCGGAGCAGGATGCGCACGGAGCCCCGGGCCCTTCGCAGCGGAGAGGGGCCGGGGGGGGGGTCCGGGGGGAGCCCGGGCAGGAGCCGCCGCCGCTGCCGCCGGGGTGGGCGCCGCTGTCCGCGGTGCTGAAGCCGGGGAGGAGCGGGGCCGGCGGGGAGGGGGCAGCGCCGCGACCCTGCCCCATTTCGGGGAGCTCGAGGGGCTGCCGGGGGGGCTGCGGGGCAGGGATGGAGGAGCCGGGGTTGGGATGGTGAGAGCCGTGAGAGATGCCTCAAGCCCTCGGCTGCTGCTGCTGCTGCTCCGGAGCTGCCGGGGGGGGACCAGCAGCAAAGCATCCGAGGTCCCTGCCTCGCCTGCCCCGAGAGGCAGCTCAGGCGTACTGCCACACCGACCAGAGAGCGCCCAGCGTGATGGTGTAGGCCAGGACGGCCAGCAGGTATGCTCGGAAGAGCAGGACATCCAGCACGTAGCCCACCTGCAGCCACTCGCGGGCGACGTCGCGAAATTCATCCCGCTTCTCGAGGAACTGGCGGATGGTGGAGATCTCGTGCAGGATGCTGGGCATGAGCGGAGAGCCCTCTGCCACAGAGCCAAAGGCAGGAGCGGGCCTCGTGCCCCCTGCCACCTCACGCTCCCGGGGGTCCTCGCAGCCGTAGTGGTTCAGCTTGGCTGCAGGATCAAGAGAGGTAAGCGAGAAAAATCTCCTTAGGCACAGAGCTGGGATTTGTGTGTGTGATCTGGACATCCGTATTGCCATGCATAAGCTGCAGTGAGTCACAGCCCTGCTCTCCGCTCCCCAGGCTGCTGGCAGTGCTGCTCATGGAGCCCTGGCTTGCAAAGAAGTATGGAAAATAAAAGGGTTGTGCTTGGCTTGGAAGGAGAGAAGGCTCCTGCCTGGCTGATATTTACTGTGCCAGGACAGGGTGCCATGCTCTAGAACAGGCCCGGTTTGTAAAATTCAGTTTTCTGCTGAATTCCGGGTGTCTGCTGCTGCTGCTCAGAGCTCCAATGGAGAAGGTGAGAGCTAATTGGAAAGGTGAACATGTTGGTAGTTCTGATATTATGTCCTTAGACTAGATTTGGGCTTAGAGCTGCGTGAGGCCAGGTCCCCTTCTCCTCCTGCAGGAGCTCTGTCTCCAGCCCTTACCTGTGCTGTCGTTGTTCTCCACATGCCTGGAGATGTCTGAGCTCTGCGCCCTGCTTTGGCTGAGTTTCTTCCTGTCCCGGATGCAGAGCAGGACAGCGGCACGCTCCAGCAGCAAGTGCTTCACCCAGCTGGGAACGTGGGGCTGCAGGTCTTGATTGTGGATCAGGCGCACGATGAGGATGGTCTCCGTGAGGCTGATGACAAGCAGTGCCATGCACACCACAAAATAGATGCCTGCGGAGATGCCAGCAAGGTGAGTGACCTGCGATGGCCAGCACAGGTTTTAGATTGATGCACAGAGCAGGGAGGTCCTGAGTGAATTCCCCCTGCCCGCCCCTCTCTGCACAGAGCTGCAGTTCCTGCTGCTCCAGGCCGTGACTGCTGCCCAGTTTCTTTGTGGATCACCCCACCCAGTCAGCAGGAAGCTTCTTCTGCTCCCTGCACTGCTCTGATGGGGCCTTCTCATGCACCTAGAGCTCCAGTGCAGCTCTCAGCCACATGTGACTGCCATCTCGACACCCCAAGCCCTGAGCTCCTTTTACAGCCCCCAGTTTTGTAGCTCCCCTTCTTGCTCCTCTCGTTCTGGTAACGTTTCTCTGCTGGAGCTGAACCACCTCCCCCTTAATTCCTCAGCATCCTGGTCCCAGAGGGACAGGTTTAACCCATTTCTGGGCACTGTCCTGGCTCGGTGGCAGTGCGGGGGATGAATTCTAGGCTCCCACCACGTAAACCCAGTGTGAAGAGCTCTTGTCCCGCTGCCAGCTGGGACTGGTAGCACTGCTGTACCTATCAGCGGGGTGCCAACAGCCGTAGCAGGAAGTGTGTCAGATACAATGATTAGGAAAACTGAGTAGCCCAGCAGGAGTGTGATCTTGAAAGAGACCCTCTCGCCACTGTTGGGAGGCAGGTAGAAGCCCACGATGTCCATCACCATCAGGAAGATGCTGGGGAGCAGCAGGCTGACAGTATAGAAGAGGGGACGTCTCCTGATAACTACCTGCCAGGACAGAAGGGAAGACAGGAAAGATTCGGTGAAGGCGAGAGCCCTGCTTGAAAGGAGAGCTTGAGCTGGTGTGGGTCTCCTCGAAAGCAGGTGAGGGTGGTGGGCTGCACCGACAGGACCCTCAGCACCAGGAGAGGTGCCAGTGGCAGGGGATGCAACAGCACAGAAGCAGGGGAGCGGCTCGGTTATGAAGGAAGGGGACTGGGGGGCAAAGCCCTGCCCTGCTTTGGCCTCATCCTTGCGAAGATCAGAGGCCAAAGCAGGGCACAGGGTGGCGAGGTCCCTTACGTAGAACTTCATCTCGGCGTAGCTGTCGCTGCTCTTGACGCTGAACTCCTGGAAGTGGCTGAGCACGTAGAGCAGCTCCCACTCGCCCTGGTTCATGAAGATGCTCCGGTCGAATTTCACCAGCTCCGGGGTCCGCCAGAGCGAGAGGTTGATGTCTCGGACTGCAAGAGGTGGGGACGGAGCTGCCGGGTGCCCGTGCCCGTGCCCGTGCCCGGTCGCGGCGCATTCCCGAGCCGCTGGGGCCACCTAGAGGGGGCCGCGTCCCCTGCACCGAGCCCCCCCGGGCCGGCACTCACTGTTGTGCAGCCAGCTGGTGAAGGTGAGAGAGCAGTTCTGGACGTCGAAGGGGAAATTGTAGATATCCAGGCTGCAGGCGGTCACCACCTGGATGGGCTTCAGGTTCTGCACCTCCCCGTGGTGGCGGACATAGACGTAGGGGACATCAGGGGACTTGCCAACGTCCACGCTGGAGGGCACAGGGACAGAGAGCCAGGGTAGGGAGCGCTTTGGGGAGCACCGTGAGCAGAGTGGGCTCCTCCTGGGAAGCTGCGTTTGGGATGGGGGCTGCCCAGCGTGAGAACTGGGACCTTACCTTGCTGTTCTGCCAACCTGCTTTTTGGGGAATAAGGGGGGCTGGAGGGGAAGGGCCAGGGCACGAGCACGCCACCCCCACGTCGGCACTGCTGCCCCGTGTCATTGCCGTGTTCCCCGTGCTGCTGCCCTCTCCTAGTGCAGCCCAGGGACCATTTGTGGCTTTGCTTCGCAGAGGTCTCTGCAGCACGAGATGGGAACACCTTAAATCCCAGCAGAAGTGGGGGCGGGGAAGGACAATGGCTGGCTTTGCAGGAAGGGCTGGCAGCTCTGCAGCTGCCCTTGCATTGTGCCTTCTTAACAAAGCCTTTCTCCAAATATCTGGATTCCACCCCCCCCCCAGCACAGTGCGGGTAATTACAAATGTTTGTGGTTAGCCAGCATTGGAAATGTCCCAACTGCCAAGCCGTTTCCCCATCTGCAGCTCACCGGATACGGGGGCACTGCCAGTTCTGTGCGGGGAATGCAGAGCGAGGCACAGCACGCGTGCTCACGGGGCTGAGCCACCCTGCTCTCTTTTGGGGTCCCCTGCGATGGGGTTCGGAGAGCTGCACTGCACTCACAACTCGTTGATGAGGATGTCGGGCACCCAGATGCTCTCGGCGGGGAGCGATATCTGCTGTGATGTTGTCAAAGCACGCCGGGTCCCACTGGAGGAACTCATCTGTCCAGTGCTGCAGGGACAAAGCAGAAGGGAACTTGGTGGTGGGTTCAGTCCTAGCCCCACCAAAACCCAAACCTAGTAGCCTGCCATGGGAATGTGCTAAATGCCATGTGAGAGAGGCAGGGAAGCCCATCTCCTCAGCCACCCAGCAGTGAGAAGCAGGAAGCATGAAAGCTGTGCCTTTAGGCTCTCGATTCCTGCCCTGCAGAGGTCTCGTTATCACAGGAGATAACCTCTCTGCGCTGAGCCGGGATGCGATCACTCAGGCACATGCACATGGAGATGCCTTTACCTGCCACGGGTGCTGGCTGTCACAGGGAGACAGCGCTGTCCCCAACAGCATCTCCCATCAGCACAGAAATGCCTGTCCTGACCTTCCTGAAACCACCTGGTTCCGCCTGTGTCCAGGAATTCTGTGGTTTGTGGGTGAATTTGAGGGTGAATTTGAGGGTGAATTCATTGAGTGATAACTGAGCACTCACAGGGAACTGAAACCACGAGGTGAGCGAGCAGCTGAGCAGACAAGGGAGCTGCTTTAGGGCGAAGAGGGGAAGGAAGGGGCAAGCTGTGTGCATGCAAGGGAGATTTTCTTCTGTGCTGAGGTCAGTGCTCCACGGCTTTCTTGCATTCCTGCACCCAAGGCAGCCAAAGGTGCCACCACACCAGGCTTTTTCTCCAGGGCTAGAAACTGGGATGTTAAGGTAGGCAAACATCAGGGCTGGGTGACAGCAGCCTGCCTTCCCCTGTGACAATCCAGGACAATCGTGTCCTGCTGGGAGGCAGCCAGCCCAGTCACCACCGGTGCTCCAGCCTCGGGAGCAGCAGCCAGGGCCCAGAGAGAGGGGATTGGCACAGGTCTCCTCGGCTCACCTGTCTGTACCAGATGTAGGTGGTCAGCACCTGGTTTTTCTCATCCTGTGGGAAGAAGAGGGCACAGGGTTGGCACAGGGTGACCCCCCCACCTGGTGGTGGAGCAGTGAGAGCAGTGGACTCACCACGCTGAGGATGGCGTACACCATCACGTCGATGGCCACGGTGGTGGTGGTGCGCCAGTCCCGCACGGGCCGGGTGCTCTTCTTGTAGTGTGCCAGCAGCGAGTCGGACAGACGGAGCAGGGCTGGCGTGTCGGGGTCTGGCACCCCGCTCGCCTTCGGGGTACCTGCCAGGGCAGGGAAACAAGAATGCCAGCATCTTTGAAACCTCATCTACTGTTTTATTCGGGTCTTCTGCTAACTGCGTGGATGGCTCTGTGACTTTCCCTGGACACTTCTTGGGTCTCGGGTGGCTGGGTAACACCTGAAGGCTGCCGTCTGCCTCTGCTCTGGGAGCAACATCAGGACAGCTGGGCAGCCACTGCGGGGAAGCTGCAAGGGAGTCAGTGCCCCGAGCAAAGTTTTCCAACTCCCACTATTTTGAGAGGCATCTCTTCTTTGCTATCAAGGTGAAGGCTGAGGTTAAAGATGAATCAAAATGTTAAATTTGTGTACTAGGTAATGAAAAGGACTAAAATCTGTCTACATGAGGAAAAAAAATGTTACCCACGTTAATCCTGGGGGCTGTGCCACCAGGCTTTGGATCCAGGCCCCCAAGTGCTTTGTATGGAGCAAACACTTCCAAGCGCTGCTGGCCAACGTTGCCGTAGTCAGAGCCTCTCTTGGAAAGCGACGGCAGGACAGCTGGGTTTTTTGGCTATTGGTCAAATATCTGTTCCTTATCCCATCTTTGCTGCTCCAGTGCATTCACGCAATGCCGGCAAGGTCTGTACCACTCCTCCATCATTTGTGGCTCTGAATGGCGCTGTGTGAAGGCTGAGGAGCCCGGCTAGCTGACAGCGCATCCTTCTCCGCATTCAGATTTCGTCCCCTCGCAGCGCACGTGGCAGCTGGATGCTCCCCGCTCCCCACCCATCTGCTCGGCGCCCACAAAAGGAGGAGGTGCAGGCCGAGATTTTCCTTTCAGCCCAGTGAGCAGGGCGTGTGTGATTAGCAAGGAGCGAGGGCCCTGCCACCAGCTGGGACAGCCGAGCCTCTGCGCCTTTGTGGCCCAGCACCGCGTGCGGTCCCGGGAAGGGACCTGGCACCCCTGTCCCAGAGCTCTCCTCCTGCCCTGCTCTGCTCAGAGAGAGGCCAGGGCAGCACTGTGGGGTTTGTGGTGAGTTGCACGAGGGAAACGCTCCCCTTTCTGGTGGGCTGTGTGATATAAATAACACCAAAATCAGCCCCTCAGCAGCAGCTCCAGGAGGAGGCTGCCGATGGGCAGCTGCGGTCACCACTCTGCGGCTGTATGAGCTGAAGCTGGGGCAGGACGAGCAGGACTGGGGTGTGCAGGCAGTGCTGATGGTTTCCTGAGGGAACAATCCCTCTGCTGGGAGCACCGACTGCATTGCAAATTGCTGTCAGCACCCCAGTCCTCGCTGCAAGGCTGCTGCCGAGGCTGCAGGCAGCCCGGGCGGCAGAACCGCGCTTGCAGCTTTGATCTGCAGCACCCGAGCCTGCTCCGCACGTCACCAAAGGCACTAATTGGAATAGATCTGCAGGAACTTGGGGAAAAGCTGCCTGGAAGGAAACTTTAATCTTTCTTTGCGACTGAAAAAAAAACACATTAGCCATGACCCCTCCAACTTTGCATGGGATCTATAATGCCTCCGAGCTGGTGGGGCTCACAACCCTCATCCAGCCAAGGGAGGAGATGGGGAGGGGGGGCGAGACGGAGCAATTAGGGCAATGGGAGGAAAACAGGCACTGCTGTAATTGCACCAGCGGCTATGGCCAAGTGGCCTCGAGCACTGCAGCTGCTTGCAGCTGGCTCGCCACATTTGCCTTCAGACCTGTGCTGCCGAGCTCAGTGCCTGGGAAAACTCACTTTGGAGGGAGAGGACGTGGCTGGGTTCACACCAGGCATCCTGATCTTCCCAGCAGCTGCCCCACGAACCTGTCTTGCACACGTGCTGGCTCCAAGGGTCTGCCTGGCCCAAATCTGTGCTTCTCTGTGGCTTCGCCTGCCATGCTGCAGGTAAGTGGGACGTGTTCGCTGCTTTCTGTCCTTTCTCCTAAGCTAAGGCTAATTCTTGTCTTTGGTGAGTGGTGTGAAATGAAATAGCTCAAAAACTGACAACCTAAAATATCAGAAAGCCTCCAGCCAACTATCTGTTGCCTTGCAATATTCTGTGGCCAAGCGTTGAAACATTGCAATGCAATCAGCACCAACTGTGAACTATCATTCAAAAAATACCCAATTGTAGGATTATTTTTTTAAAATACAAACATGTTGTCCTAGCTTTTTCCTCTCTCAGCTGAAATAAGACAAAATCAACACATGCTCCTGAAATCACTTGCACGGCCCGTGTCTTCACCCTCTATGGGCTTGCTTTGGCTTCTCAGAATAAAGAATATTGGCCAAAAACGCCACCCCCTGTGGCGCCACCCACCCTCGGTGGCTCCCCGGCTGCAAGGGCTCCTTCCTCCTGCTCCTCCCCTGCCAGTCCTTGGGCAAGGCTCTGGGCTCAGAAAGGGACAAGCCCCTGGTGGAAGGGACGAGCTCGCTGCCCAAAGCCTTTCCCGAGTTATAAACCTGCTGAGAACTTTCATGTGTGTTGGTGCAAAACAGCACAGTAATTTATTTTTTTACTCTTTCTCAAAAAAAAGTTAAACAAGAAAAAATAAGATCTGCTTATTAGTATTTCGGCAGTTATTTTTCCACTGTGTGGAGCTAAGGTTACAGAGCGCAGCCACAGCATCGCTTCTGCATGCTGCCGTCCCCAAAATCCCATTCCACATTACGAGTAATGAAACGGTATCAAAGAAATACATCTCTCTGGTGAGGGGCTTGGGCAACAGGTCCCAAACTGGGGGCTGCGGGCAGATGGACAGGAGCTCGTTCTGCTTCTGTTTTCTCTCTTGTTCCTCAGGACTCACTCTGAACACTTTCAAAGTTCCTTGAAGCCTCACACCAATGAGCCCAACATTTGGATCTGGGTTAAAATACGCTGTTACCTCCCTCTCCTCACCGCCCGTGCCCCCAGAACTTGCTCAGGTGTGCAGCGCCTCGAAGAGCTTTCCAAGAGGTCACCATGCAGATTTTCAATGATATTAATCTCTCTTTTTAAAAAATAATGAATTAATTAATTAACTAGGGTTTGCATGCTATAGAGAGCTGCTGGTTTTTATTCAGGTACACCAACATGCCTTTAGCTACCAGGAAAATAGCTCCTTCGCCCCCACCCTGCCAGACTTCCCCGTGATGTCCTTACCTGTGTCCTGCAGCATCGACACCAGGGGCAGCAGGGACAGGAGCGCCGTGAGAGCCACCAGCACCATAGCTCTGGTGCCGCAGGTCTCCCGGCTCCCTTCCCCAGCCCGAGCTCTCCTGCTCTCCTCTGCAGATAAGTGAACCTAATCAGGGAAGCAGGCAGCACTTTTTGCTTGCTTTCCCCCAGCCGTCAGGTTTTGGAAAATGCGTAATTAATCTTGCAATCAGCCTCCTCTGCTGCATCAAGTTTCAGGCAGGGAGGAGGAAGGAGGAGGCCACCCACCCCATGGGCTGTCACGCTGGTGCTGGGCGAATGCGCAGCGCCCGAGCCCCCGGCTCCCCCGGCCCCCTGCCCGGGCACAGCGCTGCGGGGAGGGCTCCCTTTCTGGGAGGGGCAGCGTCTGGATGCTGACATTGCAGCGTGGTTGGGATAACGCTGCCCATACCCTGCTGGTGTGCTGGGTGACAACAGAGAGAGGTTTTCCAAGGGAAACTTCATGACCGCACCGCCACAGGTGCCTGGTTCTTGTTGGGCCGATGAGTTAGCATCCACCTCGATGGCTTTGTGTGCAGGTTTGAGCAGTCCCCAGCTAACAAACCCCCTAGTGAGCTCCAGCAGCAAGGAAGTGAGAGCTCTGGAGATGCTCTGAGCAGCACAGGGAGAAGCTGTAAATGCAGGAGAGGAGCAAGGAACAAGCGCTCGGTGCTGGGCAAGGCTGGGGACAGGCTTTCCCCAAAGCCTTGCAGGCAGCACGGCAGCCCAGCTTCCCCAGAAGCTTCCCTGTACTGGGAGTCATGGTGAAGTAGACAGGCAGGGATCAGAGCCCTTGGCTGTGGCACGGAGCAAATTGCATCAGATGGCAGCGTGGAGTCACTTAAACGAGATAAGAATTAGTGCACGGCCCTGATGAACTCCCCCTTGGCTGCCAATAGCGGTGTCAGGGAAAGAGAGAGTGCAAAGCTGGGGCTAATTTGATTTCTCAGCTCTGTTAGCGGATGGTAAGTCACCTCCCGGGGAGCGCAGACAGCTCGGAGCTGTTTGCTGTTATTGAATCTGGATAATAAAAATCACGGGCAGTGCCGCGGCGGCGCTGGGGACCGTGCCCTGCGCCGCGGTGCCGGGGAGCGCGCCGAGCCCCGCTGCCACCACTGCTGCCTCCAGCCACCAGCACCTGCAGCGGGCAGGCACGGGGCATCGCCGTGCCATCCAGGATCCAGCTGAGGGGCTGAGCAGGGCATTAGGATCCAGGGCGAAGCGGGACAGTAGGGTCCAGGGCAAGGACTGCTGAACCACAGCCTCCGCGGCAGCGTCATTAACTCCGAATCTCCTCCCTTGGGTTTTATGTCTTCATCTTAAAGAGATTTTAATGTAGTTCCTATCAGCCCTCCTGTTATCGGATATCTAATTAGTGTGATCTATTATGGCCTTGTATTACGCGCGCGCACACACAGTCTGCGCGTCGGGGGCTCTTACGGGACTTTTTGTGGGATGTCTGATATAAATTGGCAGTATCCAGATCAGATTTACTTTCTGAAATGGTATAATGGGATTTTATTAGCTCTGTAATCTGCTGCACAGTAATTGCTTTTCTGAGAATCGAAGCACTTGGCATCCGGAGCTTCCGAAGGGCTCAGCCCAGCTCCCCGTGCCTGTAGCTGCTGCCTCAGAGCCAGCAGCGTCTGAGCGGCCCCGCAGCGCCCTGCGGCCCCCCCCAGGGTGGTGGTCGGGAGCATTGCTGGGCCAGGCAGAGGGGTGTTGGTGCTTCCAGTCTTTCCCAGAGTTTGATGAGTTTTTAACCACGTAATGCCAAACTGGTCCTGGACAGGCACAAAGCCTCCCCGAGGGTCCTGCTTGCAGCCTGCCCAGTTTGGCTCAGCCGGTGATGCCATGCCATACGCTCCCCTGCTCTGCCTGCAGACAGCATAACCTGCATTTTTATTTGTTTTTAAGCACGTATCAGCTCCGCTGGCTCCATGCAGTTGCAGAAATGCAGCCAGGTTGTCTATCAGGAGGCACCAGCCATGGGTAAGGAGGCTTTCCCCAGCAGCAGATGCTTCTCGGAAGGATCCTGCAGCAGCCGGGCTCATCTGCAGTGAGCACGGCATCGACCTGGGCTGGGCAGCACTGCCAGGGGAGCCACAGCTGGTGGTGACCTCAGAGCAGGGGAACCCGTGGGGCAGGGGCTTATGCACGAGGCTCCGGTGCTGTGCACAGCGCGGTGGGATGAGCGATGCTCTGCATCCTCCCCATCACACTGATCTGCCCCTACCAGCAGTGTAACTGGAGCCCACACCTGTGTTATTCCTGCAGCAGTGCCGGCTAAAACAGAGCCTGTGCCATGGGGTTCAGCTGCTGAGATGCTGCAGGGGGTGGCCGGGGCTCCGAGACCTCTGGAGCCAGGAGCTGGCTGCGTGCCGTAGCCAGGACGGGGACGACCGCAGTGGCTGAGCCCAGGGCAGCAGAGCAGGAGCAGGCAGGCGGTTACAAACGAGGCGATGGCAGAGCGGTGCTTTGTAAACTGCAGAGCACAGGGCCATTTCTTGCTTATATGGAGACAGCTTCCCATAAAAGCTAATAGGTTTTTGAAGGATACCAAGCACGGAGGGATCTGTTGTCTCTGCGAGGCCGTTAGTTTAGCTCAGGGAGCAAGCCGACATCCGCAGAGCCCGGAGGGTTGTGGCTCCCTGACCCATGGCCCCAGACATGGCCAAGTGGTGCTGGAGAGCTTCAGAGCCTCCAAACCAGCCCCGTGTCACCGGGTGCCAGAGGGTGCCCGTCACGGAGCCCCACACACCCCGAGCTGCACGTCCACTGTCACTCCTGGCCATGGCTGGAGTTTTCCTTGCGAGGCTGGAGCTGGGAGCCGCTGGGCATTTCACTAATTTAATCACTGTCATGGGTCATTGCAGCCCCTGATAGCTTTGCTCCGCACGGTGAACCAGGCTATCATAAACGCCTCGCTGCTGCGTTGTCTTGCTAATTATGAACCCATAAATGTCTCCTTAGGTAAATAACTCAACCCAAATAGAGGTGGATGCAGAAGTTACCGTGCGGAGGGGTGACTGGCCCAGACCCAGTGCATTGGGGCAGAAGTGCCTCCTGGCAGTAATGCCCCCATCCCACACCCCAGGAGCCCCAGCAGCACCAGCCCTGGCCTCCAAGCGTGAATTAAGCAGATAATACAAAAATCATAACAGGAGAGCAAATGGAAATGTTTCCAAGGACCTCACCGATGCACTGATTAAAGCAATTATTTTTTCCCCGTGTGGGTATGCGTTGCAGGAGAGTGGTTTCTGCAGTCTTTGGTGAAAGGGCTTGACAGCAGCAATGAAGACAAAGTGTTAGAGGAATATCCTGTTGGGGATAATCATACACTGGCAGGGGACGAGGAGGTGACCTGATCAGCCTCTTGCATCTGCAGCTCTTGTTTACTTTATTCAGCTTTTATGAGGGAGCGTGATTATGTAACTGCTGTAATGAGATTAAATTTATATCAGCGGTGCTTTGAAAAAAAAGATTTTATTAGAGAAATAGGAAAACTTCCCCAATTTCTGTCCCCGTCCTCACTAATAAAAATGTGCAGTGGTCATAAATAACCAGTGCTGCTGCGGCCAGGAAGCCGAGCTCTTCCACAGTCCCACTGTATTTCATGGTTTAATTATCAGCAGCGCAACGTTCTGCGGGCCTGGAGGGGGCAGTTAAGATGTCTCTGCAGAAAGTGCTCTAAAGTGTTACTAGATGTAATGAACACAAGCCTGGCTCGTGGTGTAAGAGGGTATCTCCTCCAGACTGGCTTGTTTTTAATCTCCTTTGAATAGCCCTTTGATGAATGATTGCCAGGCTCATGCCTGGCAGCACGGTCTTTGCAGGAGCAGAAGAAAATGTCACGGAAACAGGGCAACTTTTCTGCAAAGTCATTTGTTGCTTTTCAGAGCCACCAGCAGCTCTGCTCCTGCAGTCACCAAGCAGCCCTGCACACGGAGTGCAGCTCAGCACCTGCCCCAGCTGTACAGTTTAGGGTTTGCTCCCACTCCGGCCCCAGGACCAAGTGGTGAAGGCTGGTTTTCCTGAGCAGCATTTCCAAAGACACGGGCAGGGGTGGTGCAGTGCCTAAAAAGGCATTTTCCTGGGCTTTGCTGGGAACTGGTGAAGCTGCAGCAATGCCAGGAGGCCTGATGGGGATGTGCAAGGTGAGAGGTGCTGGAGGGCGCAGCAGGGGACCTGCACCTGAATCCATCCAGGTGGCTGCAGGGGTGATTTCTAGGAGGAGGGTGTCAGGACCCATCTGATGTTCCTCGTTTCACTAACAGCAGTGGGAGCATTTCACAGGCAATTGGAGCTAAACGCCAATGCTGCAGCAAGGAGCAGCAAGCTGCAGGTAGGAGCTGTGAGCCCCCTGCCCCAGCCGTGCTCCCACCACCCAAACTGAGCAGAGCCTGGCAGCACGGGGGTCACTCCCTGGTGCAGAAACCCCACTGGGCAGCTGGACGGACAGACTGACCACCAGACAGCCGCTGCTGAGCCCCCCTGTGGGCAGCAGCAGGAGGGGGATGTTTTGGAGCCCATCAGCCAAGCGGGCACAGCTGTAACCCATCCCTGAGAGCTCGGCAAAGGAAGGCTCTTCCCCTGCAAGCTGCTGGTATTTACTCATCTGCTTAATGAACTCCGCTTGGAGCAGCTGCAGGGATGAGTCAGGCTGTATTTCAAGGCTGCAAGCGGTGTCAGCCCGGTTCTGTGCCACTGTGCTGCTGTTGGTGTGGCTCAGGTTGGTGGCACAGACCAGGTTGCCCTGGCTGCATGTAGCAGGGCTGTATTTTGGGGTTTTCTGTGCTCAGGACCATAACGCAGGGCTGAGCAGTGCTTGTTGTCTGTGTGAGAGCCCCGTTTCCTTCCTCAGGCTGGGACCAGTACGAGCCACACCACTGCCCTGCCTCCCTGGCAGCCCCTCCGATGCGTCGGCCTTGAAGCTGCAGCTGATGCCTTTAAATTCCCCAGCAAAGGTAGGAAAGCACTTTCCCTTCGGTTGTGTTCTCCATTAGACACCCTTCAGGTGTTAGCAATATTATGCCACAATTTCATTATCCATTAAAGCCAGGTAATAATAAGTACACAAAGGTATTTGGAGCCCATTGGTGTTAATGAAGGAGATCCATCTCATTCCGAGCAGGTACAGCAGCCGTGCGTCAGAGCTGTGATATTACCCAGGGTTAGGCAGGAATTGCCTTGCTGAGAGCAGACCCACCAGTATTTAATCTTGCATGACCGTCTTTATGGCACGGAGAGAGTTTGGTGCCTGGCTGCTGCAGTGCAGCTGAGTTTGCTGCTTTTTCTCTCGTTTATATTTTGGAATAGGAAAGTGGGAACCTGCCCCCTGCTTCCCAGGGCAGGGCAGGGCTTCCTTTCCCTGCTTTCTGGAGGATTGCATCCCATCAGTGGTAGGTGAATGTCAGGAGCTGTGCAAATGCCAGGCACTTTTAGGTAGAAATCTTGTCTGTCTTCCCTACCCTTCATCCAAGTTCTTTTACTGAATCTTTAGTTTTTAAGAAGCATTTCAGAAGGGAAACTTGCAGCCTGAGCTTCAATAAAAGCATCTCATTGATTATGGTCACAATTGGTATGTTTTTTTCTAATTTTCTCTGAAAATTAAGGAAAGACTTCAACCAAGTTGGAAAAGCTAATTTGGATTTGCCGTCCCAGGGCTACCAACCAGCCCCAGCAGCAGGGTGCCAGCAGTGCTACCAAGCCATAGAAAGCAGAAATCAGCTTTTCTGCAAGGCACGCGACTGACTTGATAAAGGAGGGACAGCAATTTTTTTTTTATCCACGAAGCACCTGCATGTGTCAGTGCCTGCTGCTTTTAAACACAGCTCTGAAGTGCTTCTGAGAGGGCAGGTGAGGGTTATTTGCCTGTCTCCTAAGTGCAAGTGTTTGGTATCCATTGAAATTCCCCGCAACTAATGTTCCCCTAGTGCTAATAAACATTTCTGGAACTACTTTTTTTTCATTTTCAGGGCACCTACAGTGCAAATTGATTGCTTCCTTTTGATAAAATAAGGTTGTATGGAAAGATCTTAGGGTATGGAAGAAGCAGAGTGGGGGCAGATCTTCAGCTCCCACTTGTTCTTCATCTGAGAGTGTATGATCCTCACCGCAGCAAATTATCTCTGATATAATGGCACTTTGACTGCACTCGACACTGCAAGCAAATCACCAGTATCTGTCTTGCACCCTAATTAGTTACTGTGACATTAATCAGTCTGCTAAACATAATACATACCCTCAGCAAACCCAGCGCTAAAAATACGAGGCTGAGTTTATATTTGTAATCAGGACATTAATATTTTTTTTAGAGGGAGTTGTCTCAGCCACTATGGGCAGGCACTTGTATTAAATCCCCGTGCCTATAGATCTTCCTGCTCATAAAACAAAGAGTGACCTCAAGCTAGGTGTAATTTTTTTTTTATGAAATGACAGGTAGAAATCCCTTCCCTTTTCAGGCCCTGGTTTCTCTTCATCCTTTACTCTGTGTCATTGCAGAGCCTGGCGTGCCCTGCTCAGCCCAGCACCTGGACAGGAGCATCCTGAGGATGCAGCAGCATGGGACCCTCTTCCCCATGACCATGCTGGGGCCTGGCTCAGCCCGAAGGCAGAATGGCACAATCATGTTGTGGCTCTACGAGTATGGAAAGCTCCAGGACACCTTGGCAGGAGGAGCAGCTCCCTCCTGGCTCCTCAGGTCTCCTGTGGGGCTGGCCCAGAGCATCCCCACATGGACCACTGGTGCCCCAGCAGTGCACCGTCACTGCAGCCAGGCTGCTTTAAGTTAAACATCAAGTTAAACAACAAGTTTTGCAATGCCAGCTGGCTGGTGTAATTGGCTCTCTCGTGGCATTATTCACAGCTCTTCCTTCTTTCTTTTTTAGCTACCTTCCATCTTGCTTGTTAAAAGGAAAGGATATTTTGCAGAATTGGAATTCATTAGTCTTCCTAACAGAGGGAGCCTACTTAGACCTAAATTGGTGGTTAGCAAACGCAGAGATAATTCCCACGCGTTTGTATTTATCTTCCCAGTTCGGCAGCGTGTCGAGACAGATGCCTCGGCGTCTGTCGGAGAGGCTCCAGCCAGCGGAGGGGAATACAAAGGTATCTGGCTTCCGCAGTTGGTGAAACTTAATATAAGCAAATTGGAACTCCGACTCGATTATCTCCCTGATCAGATTTCCCCAAGGTCCTAGTAATAACTTGATATTCTTAGGCAAGACTAGTCTTTTATGCACAGGAAACAGGAGGCAAAAGATCACATCAGAAGTCAGAGGCAGCGACGAAGCCGGGCCGAGAGCTCTTCACATGAAACCACGCGCGCTCAACAGCTCGCCGATTAGTGCACACACCTGCCGACGCCGCATTTAAAGCCTCTGCCTTTGTGATGGTTTTGGCTCCGGAGCCAAATCTCTGCTCAGATGTAAGGGCAGCACCGGCACAGAATGTGTGAGCATGTATTTACTGCTGCAAAAGATATCGATCCGTAGGGACAGGGGGAGAAATGCCCCCTGTGCTGTCTCGGGTCAGCCCACCTACTTGCAAGGGACAGGTAAGTACAGTGACACCCGGGAAGGGGCTGTGCATCCACACAGCCCACCTTTCAGCTGGGTATTTACAGGCTCCTTGCTACAGCTGGAGTGGGGAAATAGCAGTATCTTCACTCATTTCCTTCTAAAACTTGTATTTTTTTTCAAGAAAGCAGCACTTCCCAAACCTGTTCTCTATTTGCTCTCCTGCAGCACAGAGGAGGGACAAGGAAATGCTGATCCTGAGCTGCCAGGCACCCACAGGACATGCTTGCCTGGTCTACACCCAAACTTTGCATTTCCAGATGCCCTGAAACGCAATTTCAGTTCAGCAGCAAGAAGAAACTCAATATCTACAATACAAGAGGTAATTACAGTGCTTACAGTTATTCATTAATTCATGTAGCATATTTCCTGTAATTAATACCATGCCCACGCAGTGCCTATGTTAATACACTTGCCAGCACCTGAAATGTATTTCTGCAGCTTTCAGGATATGGAAGTGGGTAAGGAAAGATGAGGGGGGGAAACCTGCTGTAAAACCTAGAACAAACAATATCATCTCCATAACTATTGCTATTAATACCCTGTAGTCACATGAAATTGGCTTTTTTTTTTTTCCCTCATTGGATTTTAAACTCCACTATGTATTTTGCTTGTCATTTATGCTTTGCATATTGGGCAAAATGAAAAAATCATTACTGGCTTGCTTTATTTTACTCTATCACCTCTGCTGGCGGCTCCTCCTGCCTCCCAAATTCCTACATGGGAACACTTGCACGGGACCCCCAGTGCTGCTGCAGGGAGCGCCAGGCTCCAGGCTCTGGCAGAGACCCCGCGCCACGAGGCGGCAGGGACAGCAGTGGAGAAATGAGGACCAGCAATTGCAAGTGACACGTTCCTGAGTGCTCCTCCAGAGATGCAAAAAGGTATTTTGCTCACAAGCCCTACTGGCCCCAGGGGAGCTCAGCCCCGCCAGGTCATTGGGCTGAATCAAATTGCCAATGTGCGGCAGCGAAATCTCATCTGCAGTGTCCTATGCACGCATACGGGGCTCACGGCTCTTGACGGCTGTTTTGATGAGCTGCCGAAAGTACGAGATCCAGCAGGAAACTGTAAATGAGATCTCATCTCACATCAGCAGATATGGCATAGCCTCGTCCCAAGCAGACCTCATACAAATTAGTATTTATTAGGCTGCTTTAGAGCAGCTCTGGATGCTTTGTGTGCTTTTTGTCTGCATTAAGCATTCCAGCCCTGATGTTTTGTCTTCTGCCTGCTCACACAGGCTCACCCGAATCTCACCGAGCCTCCAGCTCCCACTCCCTTTGGTGGCAGCGAGTGCTCCGCTTTAACCGCACCGCTGCTGGGGAGGAAAAGCTTTTTCTCCTTGAAATTGAGACACCCTGACTTTCAAGTCCCACTTCTTAACAAGTCTTTTTGGGATGACAAGACCCACACTACACACTGAGCAAAAGGAGGCGGCACAGTCCTGGGTGGCAGTTGGATGAGGGACCCTGTGCCTAGGGGCTGGGAGCGCACAGGGGCCGAGGGCTATCGGGGGAGCCCATAGTCTTGGTGGCACGGGGCCGTGGGGACAGCCCACATATGGGGGCTGCTGTGCAGAAAATAGCTTAAACTGTATCCTAGCTCTCCTTATATTTACATTCTGAGCTTTTAGCTGAACTGTCCTTCAGCTTCTGGGAGCTGGGGATTGGGTTCGTGCTCATCTCCCCCAGAACTTGCTGTGTTGCCCTGGGTAGAGGTATGGCTCTCTGAGCCTGTTTCCCTGCTTTTCAGAATGAGCTGAATGTGTCTCGCTGCCTGCTCACACCGTATTCATCACCTGGGCCTTCAGATAAGGAAATTTTTCCTGTAAAGGTCTCCAGGAGCTGTGTGTGGCTGGTGCCCGGGAAGACACAAGGGCTGTTTCCAAGGTCTCACACACTGGCTTGTCGCTGCCCTCCCTTGTTTGTGTGATGTGTGGCGTGTAACTTGCTCCAGAGGGAGAAACGTCTTGGAAAACATGTATTTTTATTTTTTTTTTTGGTTTGGGATGTCTTCCTTCTGATTGTTAAGCTGTTTTTATAAAGGCAGTGATGAAATCTCAGCTGTATTTGCAAAAGGATTTAAAGGAAACTGTGGTTGCCACAGTTTAGCAACTTAACTGTCTGTGCAAGTCGATGATACAAAAGCCATGGAACAGGGCTTCAGTGAAATTAAACATGGAAATAAATATTTTCTCCTATTATTGACGAGGCCAATAACCGTGCAGCCTGGGAAGCTGCAGAAAGCAGCTATCTGGCCCCCTCTGTTGTTACAAACCTTCCTTTCGTGCTGCTTTTTACCTCAGGCTCCGGGACTCGCCCACCCACCCGGGGCAGACCCCCGGAGGTGGCCGAGCCCCGAGGCTCTGCACCTGGGGGGGGGGGGCTCAGCCCTGACAGGGGAGCAGTGCTGGAGCCTGTGTCAGACGGGAACTGGGACAGAACTGGGAGATACTGGGAGGCACCCGCGGTCACGATCTGCCTCGCGGTCCCTCCGCCCCCCACCTCGTTTTTTATTTCCCCTCAGCAGCGACCCCGGGGCCCGCTCCGCCCCGGCCGGGCCCAGCCCACGCATGCGCGGTGGCGGGGAGGCGGCCGGCCGGCATGACGGCCGAGCTGCAGGCCGCGGGCGGCGCCCCGGGAGGCGGCGGAGCGGTGAGAGGGGGGCGGCGGCACCGGGACGGGGAGAGGGAACCGGGGGGGAGAGGCCCCCGGGGAGGCCTCGCCCGGGCCCGGCCCGGTTGGCGGGGAAGCCGCGGCCTGGGCTCGGTGCTGGGCTCGGTGCTGGGCTCGCTGCGGTTTGCTTTTAAACTCTCCTCAGGTACCATGGTGAGGCTGTAGTTTGTTCCAGAGGGTGCACGGGTAGCCCTGCATGGCATGGCTCTTGTCTTGCCAGCCTTCTAAAATTCTCCCCCCTGTAACATCCCTCCTGTGTTTTCACCTTTCTTTGGTACCTTTTGGACCTATTTCCAGCCACCTGTTACAAACCTCAGAGCTGCCTCACCCGCAGCAGGCAGGGCTGGGGATGAGGGCACTCAGCAGGGCGTGTGGCTCTGCTCCGAGAGCCCTGCAGCATCTCTGCGCTCTTAGAAGAGCGAATACTTCATGAGAAGTATTCCTCAGCGGTAGCGTTGAAGGAATGTGCAGGAAGAAGGCACTGATGGAGCGCACCATGTGTTTAGAAGGTGTTTGTGTGGCGGCAGTTCCAGGTTTGTGCAGGGCCAGGTCAGGAAGGTGCACGATGTACAGGCTCCTGTACACGCGTGCTGATGGACAGGGAGCCAGCAGGCCGTCGCTCCTTGTCGGGATGGATGCTGGCTTGTAAGAGGTCTCGTTTCAGGAATGTGGGCATTATCAGTGCTACCATGGGTAGGTTTGCAGGCCTCTTCATATCCATTTTGCTGGGTTGATAAAAAGCACAATTGAGGTGCAGTGGCTGAAGGTCATCTGCTCCGCATGCCTCTTCCGTGCCAGCTCCAACATCTGCCTTGCACGCTGTTATTTATGGAGCCCCTTGAACTTATGCACCGCATTTACACCCTTCTCTGTTTCCAGTTTCTCCTCAAAACAAACTACTTGTGCTCAGATCAGTATTAAGGAAAATAGCAAAACCTACAGGCTTTATCATTTTTATCTCCGATACCTTCCATTCCTCCCGGCATCTTGATTTGAGAGTCAGCTCCTGTTGCCATAATGTAATACTAATAGCGCTGTCATCGTGGTTGTTATTCTTCTGGGAGGTCAGATTTCAGCGTTTGCTTTGGTTTTAAAGGTGCGATGTGTATTAACAGCTGTAGCATGCTACCACTGTTGTTTTGAAAACAGCTCTGGAGCTTGTTTTAAAGTACCAGTGGAGCATAACTCCAAAAGCAATCAACCAGGCTAGTTAGAAAAATAAAAATTCTCTCCAAAAACTGAACAAATTGTACGCACAGAGCGTGGTTCCCCTTGGTTTTTGTGGGCTGCCAGTCAGCCACAAGCCTCTTGAAACTTGTTGTACGGGATAAACTTCCTGCTGTTAATACAAATGTTTCTTATGAAAGGTTGAATGAAATTGCCTTAGAAATCGGTAGAATTTTAAGCGGTAACTTAGAGCTGTGGGCTGGTAATTAGTTCTTATGTTTACTGCAGCCTTTGCGAGTCCTTCTTTCGGTGAAGAAGAAAAGCCGATGAAATCATGCCCTGTCCTGCCTTGGATTTCATTATCGCAGTGTGGTTTATTAGCATGGATTTTTCTCCGATGGAAACATATGCCCCGCAGCGTTAGGTAGGGTTAGCCAACAAGAATACAGCTCACTAAGGTAGCAAAATTAGCAACGTGATGTAATTGGTTTGCTGTAGTGAAAGTATTCCTGTCCTGAGGCTCATGCTCTTGGCTTCTTATCGCAGTGTCTCATTGTGCTGCTGGCTCACCGTGAGCCTTTCCAGAACATCTCAGCTCTTCTGGTTTTTAGGTGCAGGGACTGAAAAAGCATGTGTGAGGCATTGGGAAGGATGTGTGCACGTACGCACGTGCTGCTTTTTGTAGCAGCTTACCCAAAGGGTAATTTAAATGGGAATATGATGAGTAATGTGTTGAGAGAGTTCCCATCAAAAAAAAAAAGGGGGGGGGGATTTGTCTTCTAACCAACCACCTGCGTGGATGCATGCTATTTTTAAGATATTTGTGCATGGAATAGCATCTGTCAGCAGTACAGATGTATATATAGCTCAAAAAAGTAGCTGACGTTCCTGGTTGCAACTTGTGCTCCAGTTGCATTAAAACACTGGTAAGATTTTTCCCAGCGATTAGAGCAAGCAGAAATTTGAATTTATTTTATTGCTCCGCGACATTCCCAGTTCAGATTAATTAAACGTGTGATCTGAAGAACCCAGGATCCATCGGCCTGTACTGGCAGCAGGATGCCAGATAGCCTTTACCAGTCAGGCACACGCGGCAGTCCTCTCTGTTTGTCCTGCATCGAATCCGTGCTGTGCCAGGCGGGATTCCAGCATTGCAGAGCTGCACCTCCCGGGGTCAGCTTTCACTGGCGCTGGGCTGCCGGCAGCTGCTGCTCCAAAGGGGGACGATGGGACCTCACTGCTCGCTGCTGGGGGAGCTGGCATTCCCCACAACTATGCTGTTGAAGTTATTCATAGCACTGCAGCACTTGGTGGGCGCAGTGACTGCTCCTCTGGAAAAAGAGGCGCGCCCGGCCGCTCATGCAAACCTCTGTATAGGCAGCGTTGCATGCTTGCAGGTAAAGTGCATAAGTTTATCAAATCCTTATACACTTTACATATCTGTTAGGAAAATGATTACAGAAATGTTCTTAGGTGGCTAAGCTCAGAATATATTGTTGGCCATGGCTTACAGACAACAATAAGTAGCTGACCAAACCTGGAGTTGCTGTGAGGTGGGAAGGAAAAGCCATGGAAACTTCTTGGGCCCCTCTTCTGACGCCTCATTGTGAGTGAGAGATGACGTGCACAAGTGGCATGTGCAGCCAGGCTTAAAATAGCCCCTCTCCAATCCCCCGAGAGCGTACCAGGTTCCTTATATGTCCTGCTGCTGATGCTACTGCTTTTAGGAGAGCGGTGCCGGTGCCCCCCAGGTGTGGCTCATCTGATGGAGTGTGTGGTGCTTCATCTGGGGCCTGCTAACATGCTCTTGAATATACAACAGATTGAAAGTTAGTCTGTAAATAGAAATTCTAACTATGATGTTGAAGCTGATGTTGGTTTTGTTACCTGGCACGTTTAACTGAGCTTTTGTGTTGATCTCTAAGTAAAAAGGAAGGAAAGAACAAATGCTCTGGTGAGCCCTTGGCAAGCATTGCAGAAGCAGCTTGATGTTTTTCTTGGTCACCTTTTTACATTAGCTTTCTTTATTTCTCACCTGTAGGATTGCCAGATGCTTTTAAACCAACTGAAAGAGATAACAGGAATTCAGGATTCAGCTTTCCTCCAAGCAGCTCTGAAGGTTTGTATATGTTGTTAAGACCTCTCATTTTGTCTCCAAAATCAGGCAAGTTCAGGCTCTCTTGAAACATGATTCAAGGGTCAGATACGCAGTGGCATTTTTGCAGGCTGATGAGAAACTAATCCTTGCTGAAATAGTGTGTGGCCTGCGCCAGTGACACAGCGTGTCCTGAATGGAACGACTTGCTTCCTAAGAGGGGAAGCTCAAATCATCCGCTATTTTCTACCCCGGTTTCTACTTCATTCAGATATATCCGTGAGGCAAATACATACAGGAGTCCAGCATTTGTTGGTGTCAGAAGGAAATAGAATTTTAGGGCTAGCATGTATTCAGCCACATCTGAAACAAAAGCTCAATGTGAAGTTAAGAACCCTTCATTTATTTTTTTTTTCCCGTAGTAGACCTTAAAGTCTGAGCTGCAACAGTACCTGCCACATTAAACCATTGTAGACATTCTCTGGTAATTCTGCTCCTACAGGGCTGTTACCATGCGTTACAGTAAACACAAATTTTGAGGGGCAAAGTTTGTTTTTCTTTATTTAAATTGTTTCAGGGGAGTTATGGACCACTGGAATCACATTGGCAGCTTTGTGACATGTGGTTGTTTTGTCCATCACCGGAACAGTCATTTTTGCTCTAAAGTGAAGGGACAGAATCATCTCAGGGAGTTAGAGAAACAACATTTATCTGGAAAGATCCTTTCTCATAATGCATGTTTTGATATCCTAAATTGTAGTATTGACTGATCACAGCTACGTCAGTCTGAAATCATCAGACGCTATTGCCTTGAGATGTGTCAGCAAGAGTTGCATTGTTTATGTACAAAGAGACTTGTTTATATACAAAAGGACTCATTTAAGGAAATGTTTAAGTTTCATTGAGAAATAACATTCAGAAAATGTTAGCATAAATGTAAAGTAGTTTAACACTTATTGTGTAAAATGAAATAGAAAACTAGTCTATTTGAGCTCTTTTCTGGAATGAACCAGGATCAGTGTTTTGCATGTTCTTCAGATATCTTGTGCTGCGTTATGTCAAGTGACTGCAGCGTGCATAGCCTGCAGTGATGGTCTAAAGAACGCCTCAGGTTCGGTAGGATATATATGGCTTGAAATTCTTGGAGAGTTTGATTCCTGTGAGTCTCTCCCTGTGGCTAAGTACCCTGTTGCACTGCAGACCTATTGCTATTTGAATCTCTGGCAAGGGAAATGAAATTAGTTAATGGAGTCTATAATGCTCTAGTAATAAAGGCAAAGTGCTTTCCATCAGATAAATTGTAGCCTTTATTATATTCATTTTTTACTGCTACTTGTCGTCAGTAGATAGCTTTCTTCTGTGATGAGAGAAAGCAAAGTTGGAGCCAGTATGCCTATCTTTACCGTGGATGCATTAAATTTCATACAAATTTCGATGATGTAACACTGGAACTATGGATTTCTTCCATGTCTTCCTCCTAGGCTGCTAATGGAGACCTAATGGAAGCAGTCACCTTCCTCACGGAGGAGCATGCTCAAGAGCCTGCTCAGGACACGGCTGCTGCTGAGCCATCTGCTTGGGAAGGGAGTGCTGTGGGCAAACAGCTTCCACAAAGTAAGTGGGTCATCTCTGCTCACACTGTGTCTCCTAAAGTTCTTCTTAAATGTTGTCTGAGATAAAAGGGAAAGCAATGAGCCTCCGAGCTTCTGCCAAGATTCTGTGAATCTCTCCCATTCCTGTCCTGACACAGATTTTGCTAATATTTGTCACTTGACTTGGGATGGTTCAGGGAAATAAAACAAAAAAAAACAAAAAAACAAAACAAAAAAAAAAACTCTTTGGTATCAGTAAGGTTAGTTTTCCTAGAACCAGCTCATCTCTGGGTCAGCTAAGGGCCAGTTTGTAGGTAACAGATCATGCTACGAAGATGTATTTATTTTAAACAACTGATCAGTTGGCTAACACAGAAAACCCAGGAAACTCCTAAACCAGAGACCAGAATAGAGAACCGAATCCCTGTCAAGGCATATATTTCTTTCTGCAGCATTAACTTGCAGAGCAGGTTAATTAATACATATGAAATATTCCAGCAAGCTCTGAACTTGGGTGTAAGGAAATCTGGCCTTTACACAGCTGAATGGTCTGTGCTCCTAACCAAGCCCACTCAATGTGTTTTTTTTATGATCTCATAGCGTGATCCAACCTAAAAGAATTTGTTCTTATAACTTTTTCTAGAAAATCATGCTTGCATCATGTTAAAAGTCATGTTTGTGAAGTGTAACATTTTCTAGAAGTTCCTTTCAAAGAAAACATTTGCTTCCACCTGGTGGAAAATTGATTAGAATGCTGCTCTGCTTCTAGATGGTGCTGCTCTCAACCCTAACAACAAAGACGACCTCCACACAGTTGTTTTCAGACAACTGGAATCACCAAAAGGTCAGGCTGCAGAAAGAGATGCTGAAAGGTCAGTGGATTTGAAGTTTGTTTTTGGTTTTGCCAGATACTGTAGGTGGATTCTTAAGCTGATTACATTTTTTGTAACTGCAAAACAACCAAATAATGTAAAAGATGTGTATCTGCTGCTTTTAAACAGCATGTGGATTGTTACTGTCTTCTAGGTGGTATAGGTGATCTTTACTTTTGGAGCAGCACTGCAACGTGATGGTTGAAGTAGAAAAAATAACTTTAGTTGTGTCTTATTTGATTCCTCCTGACATGGCTGGCATGCCAAACAAAGCAATGCTTTACTGGTATTGTAGCACCTATTGAAGAAGCACTGTGAAATCTCATGTATCAATTCACCTCGCTCTAGTCACTGTGTAGCGCTTTCCTTTTACAGTGGGTTGGGTTGGATTGAATTTGCCTCCAGTAATGACTAAGTAGCACTAGATACTAATTTTGCATGCAGCTAGTTTACAAAGAAAAACATGCGTATCTAACACCTCATTCCATCATCTCAAATTATCTTCCAGTCCTGTTTTTCATCCACCTCATTTCAGAGTTGGAACTTTTTTGGAGTCAGGTGAGATATTTGTTGCCTGTAGTGCCAGATATCACCTGACAGTGTTCAGCTCTGCATCCTGCCTGTGACTAGAGTACAGCTTCCAGAGTTTCTGAGACTCTTTGTGAGATGGTGTTTCACAGAAGTGTTCATGTTTTGTGACAGACCACAGGAAGTACATTCTGCTGAAAACAAAAATCGTTCCAAAAGGAAACGCTGTGAAGTTTGGGGAGAGAATCCCAAACAGAGTGACTGGAGAAGAGTGGGCGACTGGCCTGTTGGAATGAAAAACATTGGTAATACATGTTGGTTTAGCGCTGTCATACAGGTAATCTAATGGCAACGTTCTTGTGTGATAGCTGCAGTCTTGGAGACAAAATATTTATCAATTAAAATTAAATATTTAATATCTTCATAGTTTCCTGTATAGAGGAGTGAATGTGGCTATCCTCAGATAATACTGTTTTTATTTTACATGATGTTTACTCTAAGCATATGTAAAAAAAAGAGCAGTTAAAAAGAGATTTTGCATAAAAATAGATGCATATAATCAGTGTGTGTGTGCAATTGCTTTTTTTGGTGCAGTGATGTACAAATACTTAATGGATGACAGAAACTGGACTGGAAAGGGGAACTGATAATATAATTATACTGGCGTCACTGTTAGCTCTATAACACTTGGGGTATCAGGTTCTGGTTAATGGAATACAGTGGCACAGATACTTGAACTAATAAGCAACTAGGCAGTGTATATTATTAGTGATAACCTGAACAAGAAGAGACAACACTAAGTGCCACTGAACAAATTTGTCTCTTCTAACCATTTTACATAGCAGATAAATGTTAATCAATCATGGCTCTCTAGCTTTGAGAAGAAGTAAAAAAGCTGCAAATGAGCTCATTTTTCTGTGTGACTTGCTCATGTATGCGTTTTCTAAGCTTGCCTGTACAGAATAGAATACTCCTTAACCTGATTATATGGCCTGAACTGGGAGCATGAGATTTTCTTCTTTGGAGGAGCATAAGGAATATGGAGGGTGCAGATGTAAGCAGCCTGTGTACCACACCAGTACTTCTTGAATGTTTATGTAGTAACACAAGGCCATTGAAGAATTAGCAGTGAACAGAAAAAGCTGTGGAGTAAGAGTCAGTGGTGCATAAAACTGAAATGAGTCAAATCCTCGTAGGTGTTGATAATTGTTACCTCTCCTTTCCTTTCAGTCTCTGTTCCAGTTGCCAGAATTTCGGAGGCTGGTCCTTGGCTACTCTCTGCCACAAAGTGTACTTGAAAGTTGTCGTAGTCGCACTGTAAGTTTTCATCACGTAAAGCTGTGAAGTTTCCCTTTTGTGGTATACTGTTTTGTTCTTTCTTTAAACAGATTTAATTTGAAACAGGCCCTCTGAGACCTCTGTTCATATGTTAACAACACTTAAATTGCCTAGCTGCTTTAAAGACAAATTTGGGAAATGTTTTACAAAGACAGAATTGCTGTAGGAAAAAAAAAAAAAGTAAGCTTTTCTCTAGAGCTTCTAAATGAGTTGCAGGGAGAAATCTGACCCATAAAACTTCTTGGCAGATTGTTCGTTTGTTATATGCTCCTCAGAAGAACTGGTATTTAAGGCAGTCTGAAGGCCTGCTAGCTCCAGCATCTTCTGAGAGTGGTCAGCAGAAGATGCCTAGAAAATATTTAAGGAAAGTTATACATAGAATTATCTTTTGCTTGTTATGTATGTCATTCTAGTTTTTGGCCACCACCATTTAGGAGATTCAGTGTATTTGCTTTTGTCTGTGCTCTTGGTATTCTAAAAAACCCAAAGTGCGTAAAGAAGAACTTTAGAAGTTACCTTACCTTTTAGCTACTATTACGTCTGGAACCTCCTTTCTCTGAAGTTCCTGATAAGTTATTTTTTTCTCCCATGCATCCACTGGGAGATCATATTGTTTCCGAAAAAGGACACTGCATGTCTTTCTGCTTTTGTCTTTTATTAATGTCATCTCTTTCCTTGGTCCTTAGCTTACCTCTTAAGTCATGTGCATGTTTGTTTGCACTTTGTTTTTAAATGCTGCTTTTTGAGCTGCAGGAAGGGTTTGGCTTTTCTTCTTCTTGTGATGCAGGGAAAAAGAAATATTGCATTCATGCAAGAACTTCAGTGTCTGTTTGCTTTAATGCTGGGAACACGTCGTAAGTTTGTGGACCCTTCTGCAGCACTGGAACTTTTAAGAGACTGCATTTAGATCAGCTGAAGAACAGCAGGTAAAACCACGTTACAAAGCCTTTTGCTTTTTTTTCAGACCAGCACTTGCTAACAGAAATTCTGTTTCACTTCATCCTCTTATTTTCAGAGAGCTCTTCACTTGTTGGTCAGCTGACAAGCAGCTGTCCCTGTGTCACTTAGGTGAAATGCACGCGCTTGGTAGTTAAACAGCCACTGTAACAGTGCTGTACCCTGTGCCATCTGGGTAGTAATCACAATAATTTCCTCCCACTAGCCTGCTGATGAACAGGGTGTTCACTATGGGTCTAAATCATCGCAGCACTTCAGTTTCATGCTTCTTTTGGATGGGTAGGTACAGCAGTACTGGTTGGGTTTTGTTCACATAGGTTTGTGAAACCAGCAGAGCGTGAAAACACATCCTTCTTGGTATGTTTGACTCTCAACTTTTGTCTCTCTTCTAGCAAGATGTGAGTGAATTTACACACAAACTACTGGATTGGCTGGAAGATGCATTCCAGCTTGCTGTGAATGTCAAGTGAGTTTTTTATGATACCAGGAGTTTGACTTGTCACTGAGGAGAAACAGATTTTAAATGTGACTGCTCGATAAATGAGAGGGCTTGAAATGAAAATTTTGAGTAATGAAAAAGACTTCTTTGTTTACTGATGGTAATCCTCCGTCAGCGTGAAATGTGCTTATGGACTGTTAGATCTACATTTCTTGCTTAAGTGTAGGACAGTATTCAATGCCAGTATGGACTACAAAGCATACAAGCTTTAAGGGAACTCAACAGACTGGTGTAAAAAGTCCTGGTTGGTTTTGATTGTGTTTTGTTTTTGTGTGTTTTTTTTGAACTATTTCAAAATAGTTCACTGTTTTTTCCTTGCCAGTATTATTATGTGCTTTTGAGTGTGGAAATATATGAGAAGCTTCCTCTCTGTTTTGTGCTTTGATAGAAAACTGTATTTTTGATTGTAGGAAGATTGCCAAGCAAGTGCTTAGATTAAGAGTTAAGGCTTTTTTGCAGCCTAAAGCTGCAAATGAATTCTGTGCTTTTTCTTTCTGAAACAGAAGCCCTGCAGATAAATCTGAAAACCCAATGGTACAACTTTTCTATGGCACTTTCTTGACTGAAGGTGTCCATGAAGGTGAGTTAAGGTTTTGGTAGATTCATTTTTTAACTCCTTTAAGAAATCTGATTTATGGCAGTGATAATACATGTTTTTGTTGCATATCCTTGATGAATTTGCCTGGATCTTCATTGTTATAGTAAACTTGCAAATAATCTTCTTTATAAAATTGTTTTTAACATCTATAAAATATGTCTTCTGAAAGTATTTAATGTTTGTAAGTGCTTCTGTGTTTGAAAGCACTTATTCTGTAAGGAGGCTTACCCTGACAGACATGTAGAAAGCTATATGCACTTCATTTCTTAAAAGTAGTGCATCTAAACTGGTGCCCATGACAACCTCTCATGTTAACTTGACAAAACGTGGGTTTTGTATCATTTTCATCATCCAGGCAACACTTTTTCCAAGATCGAAACCTTCGGTCAGTATCCCCTGCAGGTAAATGGTTATCGAAACTTGAATGAGTGCTTGGAAGGAGCCATGGTGGAGGGAGAAATGGATGAGGAGACTGCAACTCAGTCAGTGAAATATGGACAGGAGGTTAGTTGCAAGTTTTGTTGAGGTTTTGGTTGCTTTCTAAAGAAAAATTCAATACGTGTAGCACAGGTGTGTCTCAGTATAGTGTGATAACTTTAAATGGCATTTGTAAACAGTCACTACTAACTGAATAAAAAAAATTTGTCTGTGTACCTGGAAGCTCGTATAAATGTATGTTAGTGTTACATAGATACTGAGTCTGCTTATTTGTAAAGATGTGTTGTCCTATGTAACCAATTAGAGGAGTTTGTTTTAAATTAAAAAGGTAAAGAGCTGCTTCTGATGCAAGTGTGATAAAGTCTCTCTCTTTCTGTTGAAGCCTACCTGTACCTGAGTAGGGGGAGAACCACTGCCTCCATATTTTCGGAGGGTAAAAGTACAGTGCTTAACTCTATGGTATGCCATTTGGAATTTGTATCTTTCTCCCTATTACAGTGTGTGTTTTTTTTCTTTTCATTTTCACTCTTATCTTCTGACTGTGCTGATTTTTTTTTCTTTTAAATCCTGCAAATCACAAATCAGTCATGAACTACTTATCTGCAGCAAACTAGAAAGCTAAGATACATCATTATATTCAGCATCCTATATACATTAAGAACAGCTGAGAAGTTAGGTTGAGAAAGACTGAGAAATAATATTAAGAATTTTGCATAGGTGTCTGGCTTAGAAGGGATAAAAAAAGTATTTCTGTTCAATGAGAAGGTTTGAAAATGTCTTGCTGTGCTTTAAACTAGCAAAAGAAAAATGAAATCTTGTGCTGCTAAGCCCTGTCTGACTTTGGTCTCAAATGATTGTTTCTGGTTTTCCTGGTTCCTGCATGAAGCTGTTTGGATGCATTTGCAGCACATTTAGTTGAAATTGGTGTAGGCTGGTGCCAGAGACAAAGGGATACAGAGAGCTAATCAGGCAGGTTCACTTCAATCCAAGGTTTTTAGCTTCTTCAACTCCTTTTCTGAAAGGTAGGGGGAAATTGGACTAATGACAGAGATGTTTTAGTCTTTCTGTGTCTGTGCAGACAGAACGAAAAAGCTCTATTTCCAAGAAATATGATTGGAAAAAGTGCATCTTAATTTTACTTTCTAGGAAGTCTGCGTGATAGGGGGCATAGAGAATAAGGTGCGTTTTGTCTTTGGAGAACTTAGGTGAGTGCACTGAAGCTTAAAGGATCACAAGGATTAATTAGAATTATGTTTCCCCTAGTTAATAGGTGTGTAAATCTTTCCTTTTCCGTTTTTGGGTTCTCTTGTTCTGAAGATTGGGCTGCTTCTGAAAAAGCTCTGCTAACTGGCCATTTCCTTCCAGAGCATTTTAAATTATATATATATTTACAGTGAAGGGGATTCTTCTAGATATAAAATTTGCTGTTCCACTTTGGTATGGGGCAGATTTATTGTGGCAGGATATCTGACATGAATCATGCAAAAGAAAATGACCTTAGTGTGTTCATCATGAGTCCAACAGAGCGTGTTGTCTGTTTGGTGCCATGCTAAGGTAGGTGAAGTAAACGGGAAGTGGATGTTTGAGATATTTGTGAACCCAGTAAGGCAGAGGAAGTATGAATTCAACCAAGATTTTTTCTTTCAGCATGGCTCTTTGAAACAGTTGCTATATATATAGAAAGTGGTTTTCTTGTCTGAATCTCCTAAATTGAATAGTTCTAAAACAGACACAGAGAGGATAAGGAATAACACACTGCTTAAGGACTTCTGTTTTGTTATTCATCATTGCATGTGATCTACGTTGGCAAATAACTACTGTAGAGGGTTGTAGCTGACATCCAGAGTTTGTGTAGTGTCTGGTGATTTTCTGAAGTTGAGTGCTGAACCAGTTAATAAGCTACCAAGCTGGGATGTGTCAGGCAATGAAAATTAGCCTTCTGAAAGTTATTATGAGGTTGCTTCATGGTAAAAGTGTAAAATGCAAGTGGAAGAAATTTAATCTCATAAAATTTGATTTTCTGACTAGTCACTCCATAAACACAATATACATTAAGAATTTAAAGACAGCTAGATATTTAGGATCAGTCTAAAATGTGCTGTTTGGCAGTCATCTTAAAACAAGTCCCCCTGGGGGCATTTCTGCTTTTTTTACAGCGCTGGTTTACAAAGCTTCCACCAGTATTGACCTTTGAACTCTCCCGATTTGAGTTCAATCAGTCACTGGGACAGCCAGAAAAAATTCACACCAAGCTAGAATTTCCTCAGACTATTTATATGGACAGGTGAGATTTTCTGTTGTATGGTATGTTTAAATCTATTGCTTTATTTTAATTCAAGAAATTTAAAAGACGGTATTGTTGAGCAAGGAAAGGATTCTAAAATACTTACGAAAGACTGGATCTGAGAAGTAAATTTATCTCATGTGATTGGGCTTTGTCTGTCTAGGTACCTTTACTGCAGCAAAGAGCTTATTCAGATGAAGAGAGAAGAAATGAAGAGATTAAAGGAGAGAATGACGATTCTGCAACAGAAACTGGAAAGGTAAGTAGTCAGCTAACTTTATTTTTGTACCACGTGGAAGTTTTGTAAGTGCTTCCTTTCAAAAAAGTATTCAAAGAGAAAACATATAGGAAGGAGAGACACCTGTGTTCTGAGAAGCCTGGAGTGTGGAAGTGTGTTTTTATAAGAAAAGCCTGGGTTTGTTGATGGTTTCTGCAGATTAAGAATATTGTTACATGAGCAAATTTTTAAATACTGCAGTTGGAACTGTCAACTGTATTTACATGTTTCCTTGAAAAAGTATATTAATACCTTTAAAAAGAAACTACGTTATGTGCTGCATTAGATGTTCTTCACAGCTTAGCTTTTGGCATTACTTATGTAGTGGGGAAAACCAGTAGCAAAGATCTGGTTTGTGGGCAAACAGAAGGCTTCATTTTCCAGGTGCTTTGTCTAAAAGTCTTTTTAATCAGCTTTAAACTTGCTTAATTTTTTTTTATATTCGATTATGACAATTCTGTGAACAGGTGGAAGGCAAATGCTTGTCCTGCACTGTAGTAGCCTTAGAATTGTGTGTTAGGCATAGCCTCTGGCAGGCATCGTGCGAGTGGTTCATATTTAGGTCCACGTGTGGAATTGTATTGAGTCTGGCTGGGATGGAGTTGGTTTTCTTCTTAGCAGCCTGTGCTGTGTTTTGGATCTCCGACTGCAGCAGAGCTGATAACTCACCCATGTTTTGGCTATTGCAGTGTCAAGGCTTCCTCTGCTTCCCACTCCTCTCCCCCCCCAAGGCATGCAAGCTGGGGGTGAGCAAGGAGGGGACGCAGCTGGGACAACCCACAGATGTATCCCTAAACAACCATGTCACACACATGTCACAGACGTGGAGAGCTGCTGTAAGAGGTGCTCTAGTGTTACTGCTAAACCAGCCCTAAACTCAGTCTAGGCTTTGGAAATGGCCAGCCTTTGGAGAGGGAATATCAGCAGCAGCTATCAACAGACAGAATCCGTATGGTGCCAAGGCAGGGGCATGCTTCTCAGTAGTGGAAACATGATCTGAACACTGAAAGGGATAGCAGAGGGCTCTTCTTGTAGCTGCATGGCTTTCTGAGGAACAGAAGAGCTGGATGCATTTGAGGAACAAGTGTGTATGCATAGGCCCTACACATTTTTCAGATTCTAAAATGGAAATTGTGGCAGGGCGAGGTATTTAAAAAATAAATAAATAAAATCCAGGTTTGTATATGCTGTCGTAATGAGAGTTCAAAATTACTTTGAACTTTGCAGCTTTGTGAATGTTCAACGAGGCAATGTCCTAAGATTGAGATACGATTTCTGCGTTCAAAGCAATTAAAAATAAAAACGATTATTCTATGTCAGCTCTCTGTAAACATGTTGTGTCATAAATTAATATGTAGTAGCTTATTTGTTGCTCTTCTCAAGCTTAACCAGTCATGTTCCTTCATTAATGGAATGTTTTGCTTTTTTATTGTAGGTACATGAAATATGGCTCTGGCCCAGCTCGCTTTCCACTACCTGACATGCTCCAGTATGTTCTTGAATTCATCGCTACAAAGTCTGCTGTACCTGTGTCTCCTGAATGTGTATCTTCTGCTCAGGACTCTGAGACAACTGTCCTGCAGTCCCAAGCTGGGTCGTGCATTTTGGACATGCTTTCACAGCCAAACAGGTTAGTAGATAGAAAAAAAAACATTTTTAGGAGAACACATTACATTTCAACTAAATGCTACTGGTTTTCATTCTGAAAGTGAATTATGTATGTGGGCTCTTGCGAGCATGATGGCCTGTACAAGTGCAAGTAGTCAGTGGCTACTTTATTCCTGATTTGCTTCTGTTTGTCTACGTATAATACTGCAGCTAGTCTGTGTTTTTGGGGGGGTTTTGGTTGTTTGTTTTTTTTTGGTGTGTTTTTTTTTTTTTTGGTGTTTGTTTGGTGTTTTTTTTTTTGTTTTTCCTTACAAAGCATTGCCATATTCCATAAACAGTAATTCCAAGTTAAGTTATATGCTCTTTTTTGATTAGGTTACTATTTTTTATCCCTGTTAAATTACTGCAATATTGGATAATTGCAAACCTGCCCAGTTTGGTTGGCCTCCACTCCATGCTATGTAAATAAATTAATTTCCTAGTAAGGGGTGGAATTTTTGGAATTACTCATTGTGGGTCTATTCCTCACTGTATTCTTCCAGTTAGCTAAAGAATTTTAGCTTTTATTTGTCCTGCCCTATAATTTAATTTGGTCTGTTAAGGAAGAATTGCATTTCCATTAATTTATTTTCTTTGTGTTGTACCATCCTAAAATAAAAATATCTGCTCTGGCTCTTGAGTAATTTTTAACTTCTTTTATTTTCTTTATTAAATCCTTCTCAATTTTTTATGAATCTGCCTGTTACTATGGGATTTTGTTTTGCAGCATACTAGAAAGAAAGGATACTGAGACTGAAGATGCAGCTGTCCTTTTGGCAAATTCCTCGCCGCAGAAAAAATTGGATGTGCCACTCCAGCCTTCTGGTTCACCAGCAGAAATATCTGAACGGCCAGCTCCTCATGAGGTTTCTGAGGAAGAGATGAACCTTGTTAGGACATGTCTACAGCGATGGAGAAATGAGATTGAACAAGACGTGCAAGGTTGGCCCTAAACGTTTGTTGTGATTTTTGTGTTGATTGCTATCCTGATTTCCTCTCTGTTGCTTCAACTGGATACATCCTGAGCTATGCCCTGTGGTGTTCCTGCTCATCTAAAAATACTCCTCCATGTTTTGAGGTACATGGTATACCCACTGAGCTTGGACCTACCATCAAATAACCTTGTACAAGTTTCAACTCTGTTAAGTTTATTTGATCATTATTGCCTGGCTTCAAACTTTTTGAAAGTGAAGAGGGCCAGAATAGCCTGGGTAGTCATTATTTTTTATGTATTTTTCTCATTCGTGATGTTCTTGGCAGATCTGAAGGAGTCTATTACCAGAGTTAACCTATCCATTGAGCAAATGTACTGTGACCCTCTCCTCCAACAGGTAAAAAATGCAGCTTTGTTAGGTAAATATTAAACTGATGATGCTGATAATGTTTTTTGTTCATCGTTGTCAGTTCAGGTTATCCGCTTTGTTGTATTTTAAAAAAAATCCCAGTGTTATGATGAAGAGGAGAAAGGATTTGTTTAAAAAAAAAAAAAAGTTTTTCCCTTAAAAGTCAGTTCTTACACAGCAGTAAATTTAATGTATGACTTGTCTTGTACAAGGCAACATCTGTGAATGTGTTTTGTAACTTCTTTACAGAGATCAGACAACTTCCTTTACTAGAAGTAGGTCTGAGAACTCTATCCATTTGAACTTGCAGGTTCCCTATCATTTGCATGCAGTCTTGGTACACGAAGGGCAAGCAAATGCTGGTCACTACTGGGCCTACATATATGATCAGCCTCGAAAAAGCTGGCTCAAATACAATGACATCTCCGTGACAGAATCATCATGGGAAGAATTGGAGAGAGATTCATTTGGCGGCTCGAAGAATGCTAGTGCCTACTGCCTGATGTACATAAGTGATAAGGTGTCCAGCTTTGTTGCAGGTACTGGAGTTGCATATCTAGAGTTCTGTGTGTTATGTTTTTTCATGTATTATGTTGAACCTACACAGTAGTCTTTTGTTATGCAGCCTTCCCTATTACATGAGTTATTGGTAACAGTTGCTTAGTCTTGTGAGTTTGTTTGCAGTGCCAATGTATAAATAGTTATGTGGATAAATTATTGTGCACGTGGCACTATACATGGCCAACAGCTGTAGAAGAACCTAATAATTTCGTGCATGGTACATTTTGATGCAATAAATAGAAGCAAACAATAGAGAACTGTCATTCTGTTCATTGCTAAATATTGCTGATGAGAATCTGGAAGTTTTTCTTTGTCTCCCTGTGACAGGTCCATTTCTGGAATGAGCCCATGATTTATTTTGTTTTTTCCCTATTTAATGCAATTTCTGTTGTTTTTAAAAATGCTTCGCTTTTACGGTGTGTGCATAAGAAAAATATCTTTATACCAGAGATTTCATCATTTGGTTTTGATCATTTTAAGACTTGTCAAAAGCTAGAATTTCTTGGGTTTTTGTGGTATTTCAAAACTTAATACTGAAGTAGATATAAAAGGTGCTGATAAGTACCAGCATGAAATTCATGCTTTCGGGTCCATGTGGTTTCCAACCTCTGTATGTTATGTGATGTTGTAGATGCGATGTGTTAAGCTTGATTGTGACTGTTCCACTGTGGGCAGTTTAAATACCGTTCTCTGTACAGCCCTTGACTACAGATGTATTTCTGACCTATGTATTTCACTATATGCAACTCATGCGTTTCTTCCAGATGAAGATGATAGCTCAGAGGTCGGACAGTTTCAGAAGGAGGTTGAAGCCTTGCCCCCCGAGCTGAGACACTACATTCAAGAAGACAATTGGCGACTTGAGCAGGAGGCAGAGGAGTGGGAGGAAGAGCAGTCTTGCAAGATTCCTCAGATGGAGCCATCAGCTGCTTCTGAATCACAAGACCTGTCTTCTGAATCAGGACTAGGTGATACCACATCAGATTTTGTGATCTTTGTTGAAACTAATAGCAATCAGTTGGTCATAAAGACTGCGTTTTGGAGCCTTATGTAAATGTCTAGGTATCTTGAAGGAACAGGTAATGAATTAGCAAGGGCGGCTGGTTGGGGACTATGTCCTGGCAATACAAAAAGCTATTCTATGATTTTTGTACATCTGTCCTTCCAGGCTTGTCAACAGAAATGGTGTTTTCTATTCATTTAATCATAATGAGCTAATTTCATTGCACTTCCAGACTTTTTTTTTGTACGAATGTTGAGTAGACAATATCCAAGCGCTATTCTCTTGAGTGGGAAAGTGTTACTTAGCAATCCCTGACAGTGTGTGCCATACCCACTGAAAAGGTTTCGTGAGGCTTCTATTCACAAGCTCACGATGAAATACATTCAACCTCTGGGATGAATGTAGCAGCTGTTTAATCATGCACAGAAGTGCTACAAAGCATTTTTAGAACAAGAGAGGAAAAGAAGACGTAAATGGAGAGCAAACATTCGTTACAATATTGTATTTTGATGGAACAGAGTAACAAGCTCACTCCAGACTTGAATAAAGTATTAAATTGGTGTTTTGTATCGTGTTGTCTGGTGGTGCAGCAGATTAAAATGTTAATAAAGCCATTGTGTTATGTTGGGCCAGAATTCCTGAGAATGTGCACTTTTAGCAGAGTGTTACATCTTTAGTGCTGCATAACCAAGTTTTTGACAAAATGAAGGTGGCTGATAATTTCTAATGTGAATGATTTCGGATGCCATTCACAGTTAAAGAAGTTGGTATGTGTGCCTGGTAAATTTGAAAGAGGGCTGCTTTCATCTCATGCGCTTCCTTTTACCCTCTGAGCATTTGAGTTTGTGTCTTGCAGTTCATGTTCTAATGCCACATCGTTGTCCTGACAGATCAGTCTTCAGGCTGTGAGCAGAGCGTGCGTTCTCTGTCTTCTGAGCATGCCATGATTGTGAAGGATCAGACTGCCAAGGCCATTGCGAACACAGCCACTGCCTATGAAAAGAACGGTGTTGAGGCAGCTCTCTACAAGGTAAGGACTGAACCCTGGCCCAGAGAGCAACCTGTTGTTGTCTTTGTATCAGTCTTCTTAATAAACCTTTGCTTTTTCTGTTTCTGTGTAATTATGTAGCTGTACCACATATAACTCGGTCCCCTCCTGCTTTCCTGTATTTTGCTTTTGTTTTTCTTATTCCTTTTTCTTTTTCTTCTTGGCCACAGCCAAAGGAGGTAGAACCAATGAAGGCCCACCCGGGAGAAACAACCTTTACAGTTCAGGCAGAACAACCACAAGATGCTAAAGAAACAGAGTCTGCTGCCCAAACTAGCTCACAGGTCTCTGAAGTGGAAATCCCCAGTGTGGGGAAGATTTCTGTTAGATCTGATGCAGATGGATATAATGAGGAGGTACAGCTCCCAGTGCAGAAGTTAATTACTGACCATCACTAACCCATAACTTTATAGTCAGTTGGCTTTGAGCTTTCTAAGACTGGATACAGCAGACAGTCTGTCACAGAAACAGTACTGTTTTCAGAGTAAACTTTTCCCCTGTAGAAATAAAATTTGGTAGCCAGACCAAATTGATTAGTAGCTTCTTTTCTAAATGCCATCAGAGAAGCAGCTCAGTAAAAAGCACTCAATCCTTAGATCTGCTCAGGTATCCGTGTGGGTGGTCTTTCTGGCATAACTATATCGAAATTGCCCCTGATGTATTAGTTTACTTACAAGCCCCTTTAGGTCTTCAGTTTTGTCCCATTTATCGAAGAAGTTGAGTCCTAGTAGTGTAACTTAGAGAATCCTAGCTACTGATTTGAGTGTTTAACCTCATTTATACATACTTGAGCAACATTCTAGAAGCTGGCTCTTTCACAAGTCCTGTTGAGTTAGTAGACTATGCTTAATACATGCTTGTATGAAGTTAGCACAATGAAATGCTCTGCCACAGGCACCGCTGTCTTCTTACTTGCAGTGCTCAAGAAAAGTGAGTGGGACATAGAGGGGTTAGGGTTAGTGTGCTTTATGTTCTCACTTGCTGGATTTAGAAATTCAAGGCTTGGAGCAACAAGCCTTCTAATTCAAGTGCTAAAATCTGCATGTCAAGTGCATGTGATAGGTGGAGTAACTAGGTATGTAAGCAAGTAGCAGCTCTGGCTTATTCCGCCTGATTTTGTATGATTTCCTGTAGACTTTATCTTTTGAAAGTTTTTCCTTTCTTCACCATGCCTTTTCTTCTTTTCCTGTCTGTTACCGTTTTCCTTGTTGTTGTTCGTGTTTGTTTTCCTGCTTTCATGGTAGGTGATGCTGAGTCCAGCCATGCAAGGTGTCATCCTGGCTATTGCAAAAGCCCGCCAGACCTTTGATCGAGATGGGTCTGAAGCAGGGCTCGTTAAGGTATTCTATTTGTTTGCTAAATTGAGCAGCATGGAAATCAGTTTTCGCAGAATGAAGAATCTGTTATATTTAAAGACATATCAAGAAAGTGAAAGGAAAGATTTGTGCACTTTTTTTCCTTCTAACTAATGGCTTTTCTGTTTGTGCTTGCATGATGTCCTTGTTCCAAACAATTTTTAGAGCTTGTAAGCTCTGAAGAAACAGCAGATTTTACTTTTCTCTGTTTATACTGCTTATTCTTTGTATTCTTTGAGGGTATAGGTAATTCTGCCTGTTTAAAAAAAGAAAAGTAGGACTTTCTTTGCCTTTTAAAATCTGTTGCATGTCCTTGATGCAATTGTCAGGAAATAAACCAGCACTCATGAATTTTTTTTCTTTGGTCTTGAAAATGCATACTTACTATAACCACTCTTGTAAAATGTCTTCAAGAAATGAATGCATGACATAGAGGGACTTGAAAGAATGTAAACTGCTGAATACAGAAATTGGTGTTAGGTTTTAGAGGCAGGTAGATCTAATGACAAAAGGTGGCAAGGGAGAAATCACCTGTGTTACTTATCTACAAGAATATATATCACAAAATACTCTTGCATCTTAATGCAGATAATACAGATGCAAGAGGATTGCACTTGATTTTGACAACCTGGCACTGGCAAGAAGCTTACCAAAACTGTTTGAGGAAGTTATGTGTCTCACCCTCTCTGAAGAGCATTTAGGAAGCATTTAGACACCTTGGTGCTTTGGAAAATCGCATGTCTGATGCATGTGCTTTGCCTTGATATACAATGCCCCTTTTTTTTAATTTTAGCTTCAGATGCTTTTGGGCTTCTATTCACCAACAGAACGTAACTAAGCAGCAGAGGCTAGTTATCTCCCATGAGAATCCCATCATTGTAGGACACATTTAAGCTCTGTATTGGCTCCTGTAGAATTCAGGCAGTCAGAAGCGTGGGACGTTTCAGTACCTGTGTTTCATTGGCAGGCATTCCATGAAGAATACTCCAGGCTCTATCTCCTTTCCAAAGAGACCCCCACCCCTCAGAACGATGCCCGGTTGCAACATGTGCTCGTTTACTTCCTGCAAAACAATGCTCCCAAACAGGTTGTGGAACGGACCCTTCTCGAACAGTTTGCAGATAAAAACCTCAGCTACGATGAAAGGTTTGTGCTGTGGATTCCAAGATGAAGTTTTTCTCATCTGGAAGCAGCTGGGGCCATTCTTCTGACTTTCTCATCTCTGCTTATACGGAGCAGGTCAATTAGCATTATGAAGGTAGCACGAGCTAAGCTGAGAGAAATCGGTCCTGACGAGGTCGATATGGAGGAGTATAAGGTAAGGGACTGAAATGCCACCTTTGATTGATCCTTCACACTGTCAGAACTCGTGCTGTCCAAAGCAGCATGTGGGAAACTGAGAATGTGGTACAGAACAGAGTAAGCACATAGAGCAGTAGCTGGCATGCCTGTAGGTAACAGCCATGACTGGTTTCATCTGAAATTTGTATCTTCAGAAACTATGAGAGGAGAATGAGTACACTGGAAATTTCCTGAGCTTTCAGGAATGTTTATGCAGTTGACTAAATCATTATGTTGAGTGCATGGCTTTTAAGAATGTTAATCTCTTTGAAGGGTAAAGTCTGCTATACTTCTGAGTTGTGAAGGAATGTAAAACTTGGGTGTGCATGTTACAGCTGAAGCTGATACTCTGCTTTCTTTCTCCTCCTCAACAGAGATGGCATGAAGACTATAGCCTTTTTCGCAAGGTATCTGTTTACCTGCTTACAGGGTTGGAGCTGTATCAGAACAGAAAGTAAGCTTACTTTGTGTGTTTGAATATACTTTCTGACTTGCTAGTAGCCCTTTCTTCAATGCAGAGCCAACCTTGGTTATCAATTTAAACGTTATGCTGAGGTACTATTTAGGTTCTTTAGTGTCCTCTAATCTTCCCCTCAGTGGAGCTGTACGTTCTTATTTCCAGAGATGTGTTTGCAGAAATGCTTGCCATCACTTTTTCTGCCCTTTGGACTCCTGTACTAAAATCTAAGTGTCTTGAACTGGCATTATACTTGGTTTAAACACATTTTGGAGCTCTTTAGACTCTTATGATTTTTTTTAAAGGGCCTTCTTTTTCTCCCTAACGTTTTAGTTGCATAATTATCGCAGTATGGAGAAAGACTGTGCTGTTTTGTGAAAGGTTTGTATTTTGAAAAGTGATTTTTCCAATCCAGAAAAAAAATTAATAGCTGCTAGAGTTATTCATGGATGGAAACAGATTTCTGAGGTGGCTGGCAGTGATGAGCTGCCAAGTTCAGGTGGGCAAATGAACAAGAGGCTGGGCAAGAGTATGTTAGAGATTCTCTGAACTTACATCTCTCTATCAACTCTTTGAGAAGTTGGATCCAGCAGTTGTTCTGTTTTCTCAGCAGGGTTTTTATAAGGTCAAAATATATAAACGAACTGAAAATATTATCCTTTGCATTTCTGTGAGTGTTCTCCCAAAGTGCAAAGTTCTTGGAGCAGTGCAGAAAATGTTGGCATTCATGGTCTCGGCCAGTTATACACAAACTTTAAAGGGCTATTCATAAGGTACTCATTTGGAACGCAGGGCAAAAGTGAACATTACTTAATTTGACATAGAAGCATCTGTTTATACTTTGGCAAGGAAATTTTAGTTTTCCTGTTGGGTCTGATGTTAGTTACTGTTCAAGCTAAATGGAAAATATTTCCCAAGTTGACATGATTGACCACACTGTAGCTTGTGACAGCGACAGACATGGGCTGGACAGCTGACACTCTTCTCCTAGGTACCAGGAGTCCCTGACCTACCTGGTCTATGCCTACCAAAGTAACACCGCTCTGCTGATGAAAGGAACCAACAGAGGAGTGAATGAATCACTGATTGCCTTGTACAGAAGAAAGTGTCTCTTGGTGCGTAATGAAGTGCGCTCAACTCATGTGGGGAGGGTTGTGGAATGGTAAAAGCAGCCTGGTTAACATCAGCTCTTTTTGTTCTGTGATGCAGTTCACTTACTGCTCAGTACACGTTGCCCAAAGGATCGGATTGGACCGTATCCCCTTCCAGGAGCACATCTCATTAACATGCTGCTTTTTCCAGGGAATGTTCCAGTACAGCTGAACTTACTATTGGGTTTTTAAGTCAGCACTTTTCAAAAAAGCAGTAGGTTGTATTGGGTTTTGTCTGTTAGCTTCCTTCCCTCACAATATTTATTTCTGATATTGATGCCTTCCTCTTTCTGAACAAAAGGTGATGCCCTTTTCAGTGGGAAGAAAAAAGCAGTATAAAAATTAGATTTGTTGTTAGTTTGTGCTCTGTGGTTTCCAAGACCAGTGTGACTCTGTCTTACACCTGTTACCGTGGCTTCTGCCCCTTATTGAGTACCATCAGTAGCATGGAAATCTAGAATAATTCAACGAAAGAAGGTTTGATGTGATTTTTGAGGAATCTTGTTAAAGGCAAATATTAAAATCAGAATTATAAATAAGCTATATATATGCTATATGCATATATAACAAATTGCATCTATGTATCTAAACACATACATTTTTTGTTTTCTGTAGTGTGATTCCTTTGATAAAGGTTGCTGTTCCATCAAAACCTAGCACCTGGTTCTGTTTAAGTCTCTCTGATTCTCCCTCCTCTCCTAGAAGTTGAATGAGGTGGCAGCATCTCTGTTTGTGAGTTGTGAAGAAGCTCGTGTGGCAGAGGGCATTAGTATCCTGAATGAGCTGATCATCCCCTGCATGCACCTCATGAGCACCTGTGACATCTGCCAAGAAGATCTGGATGCCATTGAGGTCATGCGAAACCGCTGGTGCTCCTATTTGGGACAAGAAGACATGGACGGTAGGGAATGAATGCCCGCATTACCTTTTTCACACTGTGGTCAGGGCAGTGTCTAGATCTTAATTAGAAAGGAACTGAAGGGCATTTAAAACAGCATTAGTGTTGTAGCAAGTCTGGGTATTTCTGATGGAGGTTGTGAAAGGATAAATGTATTTGTATCATCAATTGAATTATGTTGGTTTCAATCTCCTTTATCTATATATGAAGGTTTGGGGAGTCATTGCAGGTTTTTTCTATCATTAGGAAAGGGCAAATTTTCCATAGGAAAATAAGGCAAAGACATGCAGATTTATTCTCCAAATACTGTTGTAAAGAATAAATTTGTATCAATGTCTGCTAATAGGCAAGTTTCCCATTTTTGGGCTTGTCGTAACAGCTTTTACTTAAAAGGTTATGAAAAAACAAAAGTAGGCTGCTTGCACCTCCTGTCCAGATCATGTGAGGTAGTTCAAATGTCACCACTGTCCTGATGGCTTTCATCATCTGAAAGAGCCTGTCCTTTAATGCACAGTCTCATGCTGGAGTTTGTGTGGTCAGCTCATTCGTATGGTCAGTCATTTACCATGAACTGAAAAATGTCTTCTCTATGGGTTGTCCTGTGAAGCTCTAAGATGATGAAGGCTGTGAAATGCTCTGATTCATTCCAGTATAAAGCCAATGTTTGAGAGTCACCTTGAAACACGTAGTTATTTCTGACTTCTCAACAAGTGCAGCATCTTGAACTGAGGAAACCTGATACCCTGGTAGCATCTGGTGCTGCCCCAAGACAGCCAGGTGTCAGCAGAGCTCTCCTCTTTATGGAGCCCAGCATAGACTCCACACAAGAGACAGGACTTGGGTGCTGAGTGAGATCCAGGCTAGCATCTGGTGCAATGACTCCAGTGCGTCAGCAGATGCTGCTCATCCCTGTGTGTAAGGTTTGGGCATTCCTCAGGTTTGGGTGATCGTTCTCAGAAAGGTTCATCATAGTTTCTTAGCTTGGAGCCCTCAAACCCTCTGCTGTCTGGTCTTTTACTGTTTCAGTCCCATTGACTAGTTCATCCTCTTCCCCCTTGACAGCAAACCTGCAGATGAAGCTGGGCGAATTGCTTCCCAGGCTGCTCGACTGCTCTGCGGAGGTCATTGTGCTGAAAGAGCCCCCGAAGATCCGGCCCAACTCCCCGTACGACCTCTGCAGCCGCTTTGCAGCCGTGATGGAGTCCATTCATGGTGCCTCGACTGTGACTGTAAAATAGATGGCAGACTTTCCCCCCGATATGGTGTGCTATAAACCACCTGCCTTCACAGCATCCTCCCATCAGGCAGCATTTAAAAGGGAGAGGGAAGAGAATTGGTGATTCATATTCAGGCCTGTGTTCTTTGTAAATACAAATGAATAAAAAGCAATATTGCACTTTTGAGATAGTATGTTAGGTAAGCATGCAAAGGACATGAGCCACTGTTACTAATATGATCCAACAGGTACCTGACAATTCCATCTGCTTTATATTCCCAAGACCAAATGAGGAGTTGTGTGTTTTGTTTTGGCAACTTTCTCCGCTGTCCAGCAGGCACATATCACTGGGATTGTGACAATAGCAGAGGAAGAGATTGGCTCATCTAGTGAGCAAAACTATTAGCTGTCAATCTGTCAGACACACTTACATCTTCCTAAATTATTAGCTGCAAGACATTATATATTCAGATCTTGCCAAGCTTCTGCTAGCAGAAGTCTGAATTGTGCGATTAGGAAGCTGAGAGGAACAATGGCACTCACTCTGTATCATGTGGTCAGTCATGCATGCAACTGCATATTTCAGTGAAGTCAAACAGGCATTTGCCTTTTGTATTTTAACTGGCAAAAGAAAATATGCAGGATTCCTCCTCTGAGAAAGTCAAAAGCAAATAATGGCAGTGACAAGAGAAAGGACAGAACTGTAAAGATTGCCTCCACCACGCTTGTGCTACAGTGATAGCTGACTGGTTAAAGGACATAAAACCCCTGAAGCGTGTTCCCCTCTTGGATTGGAAAGTGAACTTCCTTCTCACCACTGGTGGATTTTCAGTGCTGGATTAGTGATGATAACTGTAAAGGTTAGAATCAGCTTTTTATTTTTTTTAAATTTTTTAATTAACTTTCCTTTAAAAAAAAAAAAAAAGCAAGCCCATTTGGATTTCCTTTCATGAGCAGCCTGTAATTGTGTTTGAACTCTGGCAGTTTTTTAAACCAAATGCTGTAAGAGGAGAGGGTAAGCCTGTTTGTTAGGACTATGCAGGTTTTCTAAAAGTGCAATAAAAGCATTTGTTCTATGTTAGAATGAAAAAGCTCTCTCTGCGTGGGTTGTTTTTTTTTCAGTGTTTTTTCTTCTTCTGTTGTTATGCCTTATGGTTCCTCTTGGCTTCAGCAGGAAGAAAGAAGCAGAAGAAAAAAGAAATCCATTGGCAAAGTAACGTGGAAATGTGTGTAGCTTAATGAAGCTCCAGAGGTGCCAGAATGGTGTGAGTACTCGCTGTAATCTCATCTTAGGTCTCCTGTGAAGGCAGCAGACTGCTTGGTAGCATCCTCACCACCTGGCAGACTCCTGCTGCCAGGACAGCACTGGGGGGCTTCTGCACGTTTTAACAGAAAAATAGATGAGTTTAGTTAGGCTATGGCCACAGAGTTGCATTTGATCCTCAGACTTGACAGCTTCAGCTCATCACCGACCAGCATCCAAGAACTGTCTCTTAAGATAGGAATTTCATTAAAGTCTGCAACAGTGGCTTAACATCTTTTAACTTGTAGACAGGTCGTGTCATACCCCGAGGTTAAATGTGGCTTACAGCATGTGTTTGTGGCTTGTCTGCTTTGTGCCTGATGGTTTTGTTAGCTAACACCTGCTGTAATGTGAACACAAGTTGTAATTCAACCGAGTGAGCCTCCTTTAGTTAAATAAGGGTGGGACATGCTGAGCTGCACTTTGAGTTACCTCACTATCTGGTTTTCTGTCTAGCTGTTCTCTCTTTCTGCTTGAGATTAAGTCGTGTAACCAAGGGTTCACATTCTGCCATGCTGTAAACGGGCTAAAGGACGTGCGTCTTGGATCCCTGCTGTGTCTGGAGATAACAGCCTGTCTGTGGGGCACATCCAGGGGCACGGGGCAGGTGTTCAGGGGCACAAGCTGGGGTCCCTCCCAAGCAGGACGTGGTTCTGGGGGGTGGCTGGCAGCGGGGAGAGCAGGGCTTTCTCAGAAAACAGGTGGGAGTTAATGAAGCTCCAGAGAGTTACATCTCCCCTCCTTTTATTTTATTTCCCTGCAAAATGGTGCTGGGAAAGTGCCTATGTTTGTTATCAGCACCTAGTGGTTTCTCTTGAAGTCTCATTTTTCAGAGCTGAAAATCTGTTTTGAGTCCTTTTCCATTGCAAGCCATCCTGCATTAACTCGTGTTTTTCTGTGCAAGAGGGAATCTGCCGTTCCCAAGCAAGCAGCAGGAATAATTCATTCATATTGAATCAGAAAAGAGTTAAAAATCAGTGTTTTCCTGTAGCCAAAATCTGAGTATTTTCATTATTAATTGGGGCATTGAAACATTTAATTGCATACTGAGCTGATACCATGATTCTACACTATAATGGAGTCCTTACCTGTTTCTGCTGTTATTGCTCTGAAAAAAATGCAGATTATTTTCAGCAGCTTAGGAAGAGGAGAGAGAAATGCCCAGGGGTGTTTTCTTCTGACAAATTAGAGACAGATTTTTTGTAGGACTTCTTCCTATTACAAAATGTGTTGTAATTAGCAGAGCTATGTTTGAATGAAATTGTCACCAAGGTCCCACTGCTCTGTCAGTTTGTGTTCCGTGCTATTTAGGAATAACGTGGTTGGGATTTGGTTTCTCTCGTCTTCTCCCAGTTATTTTGGAATAAAATGAAAACACTTATCTGTAGCAACTCCAGCTATCTGTGTGCAAAAAGTGTGCCAAGGCTGTTAAAATCAATGAGCTGTCCTAGAGGCAGAGCTGCTGCCTTTTCAGCCTCGTGTTCCACATTGTTGAGATGGAGATGACATTGTGAAACAATGAGGCCTTCACTTTATTTCTTAGTATGCTCGTGGTCTGGGGTTCGACTGTAATGCGTGAAAAGCATTCAGCATTTTAAACAGAGAGCCTGGGGTCTTGACACCACATAGTCAATAACTGCATTCACTCTGCACAAAGAGTAAGTGACTCATAATTTCAAGATAACTTTTGCAACGCTGTTGTGTCATTCCAAGGCATTCTGACGTCCAGGCAACCAGGATGTGGTCTGGCAGAGAAGTCTTGAATTAGGAGATTCCAGCTATTCATACGCTCGGGAGATTTTATTCTGTCATGTTGCCACAAAAATAAATGCATATCCCAATGGATATCCAAACCCTGCTTCAAAAAAGCGCTGATGAAGACTTGTCAAGAGTGCAGTTTGGTGCCCATTAAGTTCGGATAGTTTGGGTCATGCCTGCAGGGGAGGAGTGTCCTGAAGCTAGAAGAAACCTTTGCTCAGTGTCTTGTCGTCATCTTTCTCCCTCCCCCATGTTTTCATTTCCCAAGGGTGTGGGTGACGAGTTATGGCCAAAATAGAGTTTCTTTATTTTGTGGGTTTGTCAGACCTTCAGAGGGCAGCTAACAGTTTGTGTAACTCTTTGAAAAGCTCGTTTCTCAGCCAAGAATGCTCCCCCTCTGGCCCCTCTGTTGGGCCGTGCTTGATCTTCATTACGGAGGACGTGGCGTGAACAGAAGTGCTGGGTCCCTCCTCTCCCCGCACAGCTGTGGGAAGGGATATCTCAGCACATCGCATCGGTAGCAGCAAGCCTGGCTTTTCATGGAGAATTGAAGATCACAGAACTGGTCCAAAGGGAAAGTACTTCACAAGTCCTTGGATGTTCTTTGCAAACCGTGGGGTGTTTTTATGATGTTCTTTAGCATAGTGTCCAGGATTGGACAATGTATGTAAAGCTGAATCTAAAGCCCATCAACACAAACGGTGTAGAGAGACGGGTGAAGATGTGGGAGCTGGAAGCACACCCCAAATCCCCAGGGGAGCTCCTCACACACGCAGGGGGCACCAGCTGGGGCAGGGATGCGTCCAGGACAGCAGCTGGTCAGGAAGCTCAGACTTCTTGAAATACCTTCTTGGGTCTGGCTGTGATATTCTGCCTTGACCTAAGTCCAGGTAGTGTGAAAAACGTCTAGGAATAGTCTGTTTTCTTTCCCTCTCCCCATGTGCTACTTCTTTTACTCTCAGAGCAAAGTGCAAATTTCAAAACGGGACTTTTGAAGAAAAGCGAACTTTGATTCCCAGCAGAATGCTGCTTTTGGTTGGGGGCTTCCTTTATTTTTGATCGTGCAGCCATGGCTTCTAGTGTAAAAAGATTAAACCAGCAGTAAAATCAGTTTTTAAATAGCACTGTAACAGTGGGTTTCCTGCTGTCAAGATTCTTGGTGTTAATTCAGTGTGATGTGTGCTATTGCCAGTAGCACAGAGGCATAAAGGAAACCTTATTTTTATAGCTGAGTCAAGAAAACATGGAAGAGATCTTTAAAGAGATCCACAAAATAGGGTCTCTCTCTCATTTTTCCTTTTTATTCACAGGTAAACAGCTCAGTTATAGAATTCCCTAAATGAAGGCCTTTGGCACATTTATAACTTCATCATCTCAGTGGTTAAGAAAATCAGGCTAGTGACCAGGTTAGTGCCATGGGCTTTCTGCCTTTGGAGCATGTTTTTTTGTATCAGCACGTTTTTGTTTTCCTTCCCTCCTTTTTTTTTCATCCTTTTTTCTTTTCTTTTTTTTTTTTTTTTTTTTTTTTACCTAAGCTTTTTCTAGATGCAAACATATTCAAACTGCAGCCTTGCTCCTTAAAGATCAGCCCCTTCATCCCCAGCCTTCCCAGTGCATTGTGTAAGGTGCAGTTGTATTTTCAGAGCACAGAAACATACCAGGTGGTGACTGAAATAATTTATTTTGAATACATCAAAATGAAATGGACATTCATGGAATGAGCTTTTCAGCCTGGACATAGGTGTTACAATGATCACATTTCCGACTACGGGAGATTTCCAGGGAATGCTAGCAATAGCGTAATCACTGAGTATGCTGCAAATGTAACCACAAACATGAAGTGCTCTTTACTGCTCTGTGTTTGCCTTCTTGGCTTACAGTACTAGGTTTAGTTTGCAAGTGTTGCAGAAAAAGCTTTTGCTCTTTTGAAAAAAAAAAAGAGAAAAAAGTGAAGCAGACAGATAGAGATGGGAAGGAAAAAGGCTGCAACACTGTCTTAGGAATTAGCAAATCATCCTGTAAAATGCAAGAACTGTCTGAAATTTGAACAGCCAGGAGCTGCACAGGACACAGTGCTGCAAAGTCTTAGATTACCAGGTCTGCGGCTTTGGGGTGTGAGCGGTGACCCCACGGAGATGTCCCAGCTGGACCTTCCATCGCTGGGCGCTGCAGGCAGACTGCTGAAGGCACAGCCGGCGTCTCAGTCCTGTTTAAGCAGGTGGTGTAGATAAGAAGCAACCCACCTGCTGCAAGGAAGAATCCAGCAAACCACCCCAGGAACATCGCCTCCCCGAATTCCCAACGCGGGACGATGTTGGGAATGGTTTCGTCCCAAAACTCGAGGACCGTGTTATAGGCGACCCAGGAGACCGGCGCCAGTGTGGTGATTCCTGACGTGCCGAAAGCCGCCCCTCCAGCGAGCAGGAGCCATTTCTTTAGATCAGGTTTTCCTTCGCATGTTTTCCAGCAGTCCAAGCCCAAACTGGCAAGGAGGAATCCGAGAAGCCCCAGCCCATTGGAGAGGCACATGAGGATTCGGGACACACGCAGCTCCAGCGGCAGAGCGAGGAAGGAGTCGTGGGCTTTGCACTCTGTCGCTCCCTCCTCCTGGACTATGCAGACCTGCCAGAGCCCCATGGTCCAGATCTCCAGCTCGTTTAAGTCCAAGTTGAGGTTCTTCCAGAGTGGCACGAAAGTGGTGACACAGGACGAGACCCACCCGAAGAGCGCGAGAAACATTGCACCCAGTTGGACCTTTGTGTTGCAGCTCCACGCCATGCTCACGCTGCGTCTGTAAGCTGTGCGCCGGCTCCGCTGGTGAGGCTGAGATAAGCTTAGGTGAGCAGAAGCTTTTGGTATTAACACTTTTGGAGCTGTGCATTTATGGTGTGGGTTTCCATGAATGCACCGTTTCCATTGACAGCCGCAGACGGAGCGCTGCGATTTGCTTCTGGCGTTCAGCGGAGTCGCATAGGGGGAAATTCAAGCTTATACCTCTAATTCCTGGGTGTGGCCACAATCATTTTTTTGTGTCTTGTTGGTTTTGTTGCGTTAAAAGAAGGCACTGCTGGCTAGGCAGGAAAAACTGGGTAACCAACAGGGAGCAAAGCCGTTCTGGAAAGCCAAGCACCGACCCCATGCTCCTTTCCCTCTCCCCCCACTTTCCCCTCACCGGTGCTCACGCAGCACTCGGTGCTCGTGCAGCCCCGCTCCCTGCATGTTCTGATGTCCTGTCCCTGCACCGCTGGGGATAGGCCAGGGGTGGATGCTCTGGGCTGGCAGCTTCTTCGGAGAGGACATCCCCAGGTGTCCCCAGGGATGGTGGTTTTGTATCTCTGCGTGTGGGCAGTGCTTCTTCAGGGCAAACCTGGCTCACGGGCTGCAGTGGTCCTGCCTTGCCGTGCTGTCCATACACAGGAGGGTTAAGTAAAAGCATGCAAATCCTCTGAGCCTCAGGAACCCTGAAGTGAGAGTCTTGGCAGAGAGCAGCTCCCGGCAAGCAGCAGCTCCGGCCCTGGCTGGGAGGGGAGAGGAGCTGGCGGCTGCTGCAGGGGACGGGGTGCCTGGAGGAGAGCACCTCTCCCCTCCTGGTGGCTGCGGCATGGAGCTCTCTCGAGAAGATTTAAGTCATCAACCCTCCTGCTGTCCTTAAATAAATGCCCAGGGAGGTCTTGAGAGCTGCCTGGGAGCTCAGTGGAGGACTGGGACTTCCACAGAGGCAGCTCTGTCCCGATGGGGGTGACTGGGAAGCTGGGCTGAGCAGCCCCACATCATGCAGGTGCTGTGGGACCCACACATCACAGCGTGAGCTGAGCACGGTGACGTCCTGCCTCGCTCTGGGAGGCAGAGGTGTTGGTCCTGGAAGTCTCTGTGCTGCACCAGGACTGAACTTTACCCTCGCTGCGGTGCTTCGCATCCTCAGAAAGTGCTTCGCAAACATTTGTCCTCAGAGCAGCGTCGTCCGGTCACTGGGGTTATCTGCAGTGAAGTGTCAGGGGAGCTGGGACACGGAGGTAGGGCTGAGATGTCACTTTGGAAGAAGAGGACCTGTTGTGACTGAGAGAAAAGACCTTGCTGTAAAAAAAGATAGGGAAAAAGTAAAATGGAGAGACCACTTCATAAGGAAAATCCTAATTTTCTGTTGACGCTCACTTCCCATCTGTTCCTGCGTGCCCAGCCCCACAAATGGGATACAAGGTCCAGCTTTGAGATTCATCTTCATTGGGAGATTAGTTGACTAATCTCTCATTCATCTGTCCTCTTTGTTACCAAGAAGGATATTAGGGGGCAAGGCTGGTAAATTACTGCTCCTTCCTCATCACAGCAGCGGGGTCGGTGCTGCTGGGGCCAGGATCCCGGTGCTGGGCACTGTGCCCGTGCAGCTGGGCCACGAGGGGCTCTGGCCCCGTGCCCCCCAGCAGAGGCCATGGCCATAGGACCTGCCTCCCTCCGGCCCCGAGCCTCTGCCAATTTCCTGGAACACAACCCAGGTGAAAGAGGGGAGACTGTTCAATAAAAAAAACAAAACACAGGGTCACCAGAAGCTGTTTGCTCTAGGGCCGGGTGCCTTCAGCCCTTGGGTACACATCCTGCTTTCCAGTGCTTGGTGCTGACTGAGGGCTGCTCGGCAGCCTCCTCCGTACCACACCGCGCTTTCTGCCCACCTCTCGTCCCCCTTCCCGACCCCTTGCTGAAGTGCAGGGGAAATTTGGATGTCCCAAACCCCCCTGTAAGCCAGGACCTGCCCACAGGCACTGGCTCTGGCCACATCCCTGCGGTCCTGCCGGTTGCAGGCCGCCTCCAGGCAATGTCTGGGGCCGGTATTTGCCCCGGAGCCCTGCTGTGCAGGCCACCGCCAGTCACGCAGGGGACAGGGGATGGGGACAGGGGACAGGGGACATGCTCGGCCCGGCCGTCCCTCGTTTCCACCCTGGGCAGGGCCGGAGCTGCTGCCTGTGTGAGGTGGGGTGAGCTGAGGCCTGCAGTCACGGTTAACTCCCAGTGCAAGTTGTGGAGCCTTAACCTGGCTGTATCGGTGACGCTGGGACGCGTGAGGCTGGGGCTGAGCGGTTATTTATAACCTCTGTGCTGCCTCTGCTATTTTTAACCCACTTGAAATACGCCACGGGGGCATCCTCTGTGAGGGATGAGCCCTCCGGGTGCGTTATCCCCGTCCTGGAGGTCAGGAGGTGCTGCTGTGTGGGGCCGCGCTCCTCAGGGCTCCATTCCCCAGACGTGGGCACCTCACGAGGGAAGGGGCCGTGGCTTCTCCTTGCCTCCAGCCCCAGGTTTCGGATCTCTCTGCCCCTGCACCTCGCTCGTCACGGAGAGCAGAGGTCACGAGCTGGTGCTCCTGGCCCGAAACCCAGCCCTGCTCCACGCTGGGAGGTTGTGGCAGGGGCAAAGGGAAGGCCCTGCCCCACTGCCAGCCCCCCGAGCCCCCGCAGTGCATCTGCTTCTTGCCCCAGCCCTCCCGATTAAATCAACTTGAGGTATTTCTGCCTGTCATTGAGGGAGATTAATGGGTGACCTTCTTCTCGTGGAGCAGGATTGGAGGACGCCGCCAAGCTCCCCTTCCCTCCCATAAGCTGTGCGGCACAGCCAGGAGAGGATTTTCCTCCAGAACCGGTTGGAAGATGCCTGAGGGCAGACGGGACAGCGCTGGGGTGGCCCGAGAGCAGCTGTAGGTGTGGGCAGAGGCTGAGGTCTGCCGGCCATGCCCGCTCCTGCCCGGCGGGCACGGTGCCTGGAGATGCGGTAGGTGCACCGGGGGCTGCATGAGCAGGGGGCTCCCAGTCACTGTCCTGAAGAGGAGAGGGGAAGGGACGGGGTGGGAGCATGATGCTGAGGGTGTCTGCAAGGCCATCCCTCTGTTTTGGTTTGTCCTGAGTGTTTGCAAGCTGGGGCGTGCGTCTGTGGTGTATGGGCTGGGGCAGCGGCCAGGGGATGGTGGCAGGAGGTGGCAGGGCAGAGACACAGCAAGAGCCAGAGCACAGCACCCAAGGACTCTGTCTGTGAGCACTTCTCAAAGCGGGTGATGCTCAAAGGATGCACAGAACCCAGTGCCCTGGCAGCCCAGAGCTCCTGGCCTCATGGGTCAGAGCCACCCTGCCTCGCTGCCAGGATTTCCAGGAACGCGACCTCCTGCAGGACAGTGGTGGCTGTTAAAGGAATTACGTTTGGTTTGGGGAAAAAATCTCTAAACATAACGAATTGGCAGGAGCGTTTGCTGTAGCATATCAAGGGAAAACGTCTCAAAATAAAGGAGTTTAATATTTTCCGAATTTCCTGACTTTACAAAGTGTCTTGCTACAGGTCTGCTGCCACTGTGCCTGTGGGAGCTGTGCTCTCCAAACCCGTAGGCTTCTGCAGCTGCAGCTCCTGCTTTTCCTGCTGCAGAGGAAGGCAGAAGAGCAGAGGAACTGATCCCAGCCCAGCACCAAGGGCACCCAGAGGCCAGATGTCAGCTCTCAGCTGGCCACTGCTGCCCCGAGGAAGAAAATAATTAAGGCAGATGATTATTCCTGAGAGAAAGCACTCACCTCAAAGCTTGTTAGCCCAATTGTTGCAGCCCGGCGCAGCGGGGATGTGTGCTGAATCATAATTGTTTTTCACTTTCCCTCCTCTTTACCCGTGTTTGTTGTAAATATTCCTCTGCTCACAGGGCTTCTGGCTCCCCCACAGCGGACACGGGTGGGGAGCGGTGAAGCCGTGGGGTGTGCAGCTCGCCCACCTCACGTGGCTGCCCAGCAAGGACAGCCAGGATGGGGTTTCTGCATGGAGGCTGGGGACTGCCCGGAGTGTGTACGGCCTGCAGCAGGATCACCCTACTGCAGAATTTCTTTGTTTGCAACTTCTCTCCCCAGCTGCTGCAAGACCCGAGCGTCTGAGCCCCAGTCCTGCTTGACAGACGACCGCATCACCCACGCGAGGACCCAGCGGCTGAGGCAGAGGATGCTGGATGAGGCAGCAGGGCCCCTGGCCCATCCCCAGGGGGGAAAAGCACCTGGAGCTGAGCTGGGGCAGGTTCTGCTGTGAGCACCGCGAGGCTGCAGCCTGCTGACGGGGAGGGGGCTCCATCGGTCAGGTACCCCGCACCACCTCCCTGCTCCTGTCCCCAGCTCCTTCCCGATCCCAAATTTTGTCACTGAACAGCCTCGCAGCAACTTCCCAGGGCCTGGAACCACCTGTGCCTGCTGCTGGGGTTGCTCAAGTGGCTCAGAGCAAGGAGCCACCTCCATCCCCGCGTGGTGCAATGCAATTAGGGCAGGTAATTGGCTTAGCCATCTGCTGCCTCCCCCGGTCCAGCTCAGCTCCATCACCTGAGCGGGGGCCTCAGCAGGAGATGGGGGCTCCCAGGGCCTGGGCCCCCAGCAGCAGCCCTTGGGGTGCGCTCAATGCTCTTCCAGCCACAGCAGCTGCCCTGAGCATAAGGCACCGCGGTGCAAGCACGCAGCAGCCGTGCCACGCTGCCAGCCATGGGATACCCACACGGATTGGGGCATCCCCACCGCAGCCGGGCACCCGCAGCTCCGTGGCAGCAGGACCGTGCCGAAGCCGCTGCGGAAATGCAGCTAACAGGATTACGGTGCAGGCAGCACCGAGATTAATGACCTGCTTCCTCTGGGAGTTCCCTGGAGCTCTTTGCAGACAGGGGGCCCACGGGCTGCAGCCTGCAGGGTTTGTGCCACGCCACCAGCCCTGCGTGGGGCTGTCCCCTCGTGGTGACCGCGTGAACATCCCTCACCTGCTACAGCCCTGGGAGGCTGCTGGCAGGATGGCAGGACCCACCGGTGTTTAACCCCAAATTTTGCCCCCTCCTGCCCAGCCTGCTGCCCGTGCACCCCACACCCCACCTGACGCTGCCCTTCTGTTCCCGCAGCGCCCTGTGCCATGGCTGCCGTGCTGACCGCCACCGGCAGCGGCACGGAGCCGCAGTGGGAGCGCAGCCTCTGCACCCACAACGGTGTGGGTGGCTGCTGGCTGCTCCGCGAGGAGTCCCGGGGCCGCAGGAACTCCATCCCACCCGCACAGGCGCCCACGGCCAGGCACATGCTGGCCTACCTGCCGCGGCCACCCACCGACACCAGCCGCTACGGCACCTTCCCCCAGAAGGTAGGGCTGCAAAGCACCCGCAGCCTGCAGGTCCCCGCTGTCCTGCGTGTGGTGCAGAGGATCCCAGGCACGTGAGGTTCAGTGCCTGGAGCGTAGAGGATGAAGAGGGTGATTTAACACGGACTGGCCCCTTTCCCCTTGCAGCCCGAAGGCCCAGCCACCCCTGCGCTCCTGGCGGATGACGGCCACCAGCAAGAGGCCACCAACGCTGCTGAGAAAAGGGTCCTAGTCCCAAATGATCTCCACCTGCCCTACAGCACTGACATCCCCAGCGAGCCAGCTCTGCTTCAGAGACGAGCAGACTCGGAGGACGTTGTGCCTGCCAGGCGCTGGCCCAGCATCTCCATCAGCACCGTTGACCTGCCCAAGCACCGCCGCACTTCGCGCCACGACCCGCTGCCCGTGCCACGGGATGTCTCCTCCCGCTGGTACCCGCGGCACACACGCAGCGTGCCCACCATCCCCAGCCCCATGCAGAGCAAAACGCCCACCCGGAGCATCGTCTCCATCCCCTCTGCGGAGAGGCTGCAGACGCGGCGCTGCAAGCTGATGGAGGACGAGCGGCCGCTTGGCCTGGCAAGCAAGCAGCAGAGGCAGCGCTACGTCACCAAAGTAGGCAAGTGCCAGGTGAACCTGGGCAACATCCAGGAGAAGAAGAGGTTCCTCTCAGACATTTTCACCACTATCGTGGACCTCAAGTACCGCTGGTTCCTCTTCGTGTTCATGATGTGCTATATTGTCACCTGGGTTGCCTTTGGCACCATCTATTTCTTCGACGCGTGGCTAAGGGGTGACATCGACCACATCGGCGATCCAGAGTGGAAGGCGTGCATCGAGAACGTGGACAATTTCATATCTGCCTTACTCTTCTCTGTGGAAAGTCAGAGGACCATCGGCTACGGCTCCAGGATCGTGACAGCCAACTGTGCCGAGGGCGTCATCCTGCTGATGGCACAGTCCATCATTGGGTCCATGATCGATGCCCTGATGGTGGGATGCATGTTCGTCAAGATCTCCAGGCCCAAGAAGCGTGCCCAGACCTTAATCTTCAGCAAAAACTGCGTCATCTCCCACCGAGACGAGAAGCTCTGCCTGATGTTCCGCATCGGGGACCTGCGGGAGAGCCACATGGTGGACGCAAAAATAAGAGCCAAACTGATCAAATCCAGGCAGACCAAAGAAGGGGAGTTCATCCCCTTGGAGCAGTCGGAGCTGAACCTGGGCTACGACACCGGGGAGGACAGGCTGTTCCTGGTGGAGCCCCAGATCATCTGCCACGTTATCAACCAGCGCAGCCCCTTCTGGGACATGTCGGCGGAGTCGCTGAGGAGGGAGCAGTTTGAGATCATCATCATCCTCGAGGGCATCGTGGAGGCCACAGGTGAGTGACAGGGCTTGGGGTGGTTCCATCCAGCCCCACACAAGCCGGCTGCTGTCGGGATGCCGGCCTGGTGCCCGGTGCCACAGGCAGAGCTCAGGGGGAAGCGGGTACAAGGGGTGGGGACCACGGGGGGCTGCAGGAGCCCATCTCCGGGTACTTCTGGAGGGCCTGGGCCCTGCTTTCCCCATCTTGCTTCACTGTGAGGACATCGCTGAGGGTGTGGGTGCAGGGGCGTGCATCCTGCGGAGTCGCAGCCCTCAGGGGCACATCCGAGCCTCCCCTGGGATGTTCCCTTGCAGGGATGACGTGCCAGGCCCGCACCTCATACACCGAGGATGAGATCCTGTGGGGGTACCGCTTCGAGCCCTGCATGTGGCTGGAGAAGGGCGCCTTCCGCGTGGACTACAGCCGCTTCGAGCTCACCTTCGAGGTGCAGACCCCGGCAGCCAGCGCCAAGGAGATGCAGGAGATGGCGGAGCTGCAGCGCCGGGGCCGTGACGTGAACGTGCCCGTACCTGTACCCGTGCCTGTGCCCGGCCTGGGCTGGACCCCACCACCCCTCTGAGCGACCCCCGGGGGCTGTGGGGCTGGGGGGGCTGCAGTAACGGGGCCGGCAGCGGGGAGCCCCCCATGGATCTGTGTGTGGGCACCACAGGGAGCACATCACATAAACAGACAGACAAATCAATCAATCAATCAATAAATAAATAAATGAGGAAGAGACAGCCCAGGGGGGTTGTGCAGAGAGTGTTTATTAATATATGCAAATGAGGTGATTAATATGCAAATGTTAATCCAATCGGCCACGCCCCCACCACACACACAGCGCCTGCAGTTGCCCTCCCGCCCGCCTGGGGGCGCTGCAGCCCCCCCCCCCACTTCCAGCCCCCTCCCCCGCGCCCCCTGATGCCGTCAGGCGCTGAGGCGCGGCGGGCGCTGAGGCGGCAGCGGCGGCGGCCCCGGGCCCGGCTCGGCCCGGCTCGGCCCGGCCATGACGGACCGGGAGAACAACAACAGCATCTCCGCCAACCCCTTCGCCGCCCTCTTCAGCTCGCTGGCCGACGCCAGGCAGTTCGCAGCCGGACAGAAGCAGCAGCCGAGGCCGCTGGCAGGTCGGGAACGGGACCGGGATTGGGATCGGGGCCGCGGGGGGGGCCCGGGCAGGGCCTAGCTGGGGGGCTGCGGGGCCTTGACGGGGCCTACAGCGGCCGCCGGTGTGGACGGGGCTGTTCTGGCGCTCGGTGGCGGTTCTGGAGCTCTTGGGGGGGTGTGGGGGGGTGCAGCCCGGTGGGCAGCTGCCGTGCTCGGTCCCGCAGGTGAGGAGACCTCGGCCAGCCAGGATGACTCCGACAACAGCGTCTCCGAGAGCCTGGATGACTGCGACTACTCCGTGGCGGAGATCAGCCGCTCGTTCCGCTCACAGCGGGAGCTGTGCGAGCAGCTCAACATCAACCACATGATCCAGAGGATCTTCCTCATCACCCTCGATAACAGTGAGTGCTCGTGGCGGGTGGCTCGGCTCTACGTGGCTGGTGTCGCTGCCGTGGTTTGCTTGGTGAAGGCACCTGCGGGGCCCTGAGGAGCTCTGTGCTGTGCCTGTGCTGGTGGGGAGCAGCCTGGGAGAAACGCTGGGTGGAGAGCATCTGGCCTGGAAGTGTGCAGCTGGTTATCTCGTGTGCCCAAAGCCTTGAGCAGGGTTCCTGTGTTTGCTTTTGACTTGTAAGGATCAGAGGAGGCAGTGTTACACAGCTGCTGAGAGACTGTTTCTGCCTCTGTCTCCTAAAAACACTTTTGAGAGCCAGCGCTTGAAAGCGTCTTCAGCTGCATGGGGCCAGCAGAGACAGCACTCGGCATTTCTGAGCTGGCTCAGGGTGGCCCCGCTGGCGGCAGCATGCTGAGAAGCTTCTGCTTTTTATGCAAAGTGCAGCCCCTCAGGGCAAGGACGTGAACAAGGAAACTCCGTGGGAGCTTAGGCTCTCATAGTAGCCCCAAACTGTTTTTTACTTGTGATATTAATGTAAGAGTGTGACTTTTAATAGTGTGCAGCATGACTTGTGTACTCGCAGAAGGGCTGTCTTGATGAGTTCCCGAGTGCACCGTGCTTTGAGCAGAGGTGTGAGAACCCTCGCAGAAGCTTGTCAGGTCTACACAAAACTGGGTGGGAATGGTGGGAGAGGGGCAGGGCTTCCCTGCAGTAGCTGGTGGCAGGTTTCACTGTAGGTTTCACTGCTTGCAGCTATGTTTTCTGTCAGCTTTGGGACAATAGATTGTGTTTTCCTCAGGTGATCCCAGCATGAAAAGTGGAAATGGGATTCCAGCTCGCTGTGTGTATTTGGAAGAAATGGCTGCAGATCTGGATGACCAGGACTGGCTGGACATGGAAAACATCGAGCAGGTACGGTTGCTGCATGTCTCACTTCTCATACAGACTGATGGCTGTCCAGACAGAAATGGTGTAGCTGTGAGTGATGTGCTGATAGCTCCTGATGGAACTCTTTGAACTCCCCACTCACAACTAGGATTTTGAGTGTTTTCTGTTTGAGACAGGATGTCTTACAGCAATGGCGACAGGAAAGGAGAGTCTTTTATGTGCATTCTGTTTTTAAAAACAAACAAAAATACGTTTGTGTAGTTATCCTGACAGTTGACAACTTCCCAGTAATCAGCACGATGAGGCCTTTAGATCTTCTCTTTACTTTGGGAACAGCAATTAGGTATCTTTCCTCGCAAAGTGTACACAGTGCATTCTGAGTGAAGGCTGTCTGCCAAAGCAGAGCATGGAGCTGCTAGTGAGAGTTCCCTTAGAACTGCCACCGCCCTTGAAAGTGATTGGAGAAATTGTTACTTTAGCACTTAAGCGAGTCTGAGGATTCTCAGGCTGGTACTCTTACTTAATAGTTACAGAGAGCTCTTCTGGGCAGAAATAGTTTAGCCTAAGATGATAAGGGATTTATTTTAAGTGTTTTTTCTTCTCTCTCCTGGGACTGTTTCACTTTCAACCTATTTTTGCTTGCGTCTAGGCACTGTTCACCCGCTTGCTGCTGCAGGAGCCTGGAAACCACCTGATTTACATGACCTCTGCCAGCACACAGAACCTCTCTGCAGATCGGGACGCGGGGGAGAAACAAATTCTACGCTACCTCTATGCCTGTTTCCAGAGGGCAAGAGAAGAGGTGGGTGGAAGTTTCTGAGAGAGGAGATAACTTCGTTATCCAGACACGTTTTAATGGTGAGAAGTGGGTACACGATCCCAGATCCATCTTGTCGTTTCTGTGCAGATAACCAAGGTTCCAGAGAACTTGCTGCCCTTTGCTGTGCGCTGCCGAAATCTGACTGTGTCAAATGCTCACACTGTTCTCCTTACCCCAGAGATTTATGTCAACCAGAATGTGTATGAGCAGCTGGTGGACCTGATGCTGGAGGCACTGAGAGGGGCACGTAAGTATGACTAAACTTGATGATGGCTTAGTGCTGTAGGGTTTCCATTAGTGTTGTAAGGCTTCTTAATTTGTTCTAGCTGTGTTTTTCTCTAAGTGCATTCAGCCCTCTGAGTGTTTGCACTTTGCAATTTGGTTGGTAGTGAGCTCTCCTCTCTCCACTGAAGAAGTGGCTGTAAAAGAGACTGAGTTCTTGTCTCTAAGCAAGCCAAGGACATCTTAACGTAGGTAAAGCCTGAGGAACGAATATTGTGGCTTAAGTGAAGCTTTGGCTCCCTCCGTTGTTAAAATGAAGGTGAAAGGGAGAGCTGTGCTTAGGTAGCAGGGTGTGCATGCTCTTGAGCTCTGGCTGCACTGAGGATCTGTTGTCTGTAATGGTCTTGTATCCCTTGCTAGATTTTGAAGACATGACTGAGTTTCTCGAGGAGGTCATAGAAGCCTTAACAATGGATGAGGAAGTGCGGACATTTGGGGAAGTCATGATTCCAGTCTTCGATATTTTACTGGGCAGGATCAAGGACTTGGACCTTTGTCAGATCCTGCTCTACACCTACCTAGATATGCTCCTCTACTTCACAAAGCAGAAAGATATAGCCAAGGTACGTGTCCTAGCCTTACGAAGAGCTAGGAACTTCTGTGTCTTATGCAGAAACCCCATGGGTTGCAATAGTATAATCCTAGCAGTGTTCAGTGAATGCTTCTCTAGCATCGCTCAAAGACAAGAGGTAGAAGTGAAATCACAGTTTGCATGTGAGTACAGGGTGGTAGATGGTAGTTATGCAAAGAAACACTTCTAATGTAACATTCTGCTCTATGGCTGATGACTTATCCAAGTGTACCCAAGATGATCTACTTGGTCACTCTCAGCTTCTGCTTACAGGGGTGCATTTAGATGATCTAACCTGTTGGGTTCAAACCAAAAGTGTAGTGTAACAACTTCCGTGTACCCTTAGTCCTCTTAGTTTCTGATTGGTTGGCCTAAACCCATAGTTTTTTTAGTGGAATTTTATAAAAATGTCAGCATCTTCATCTGTTCCCTAGGTATTTGCAGGCTATATTCAGCCCAAGGATCCTAACAATGGACAGATGTATCAGAAGACTTTGTTAGGCGTCATTTTAAATATCTCCTGTTTGCTAAAGACTCCTGGTGTAGTAGAGAATCACGGCTACTTCTTGAATCCATCCCGATCCAGTCCACAAGAGATCAAGGTGCAGGAATCCAACATCCATCAGGTGGGGCTGAAGTGTAATACTGCTGCTTCCCAATGTATTTTATTAGTCTCTGGGCTTGCGGGTTGAAGTGAAAAGCCTTGATATTGGTGCTGAGTTCTTTTGGTCTTTGATAGCATGTCTTGGTGGCTAAGCAAGTCACAGAACTGCTTTGGATTTTAGATTCTCCATCTGTAAAACGTAAATAGCTTTGCGTGCTTACTCAGGTTGTAACCGCAGTCTTGGTATTGATCTCATGTTTCTGCTGCTTAAGAGTGAGTCATCTGTTACCAAAGTAGTTTTCTGATTTTTGGGAAGATGGTAGGGTGCTTTTAGAACAGATACCAGTACCATAGCTTAAGACGGTATGTGGAGATAATCTGACTTAAATATTGTAAGCACTGTGAATTGTTTTTCAGTTCCTGTCCTGTAATTGAAACACAGACTCACTAGCAGATAAAATGACAGGCAACACTCACTCTGTATTTGAAATTAGCTTCCCTCCTGAGATCAGCAGCGCTTGGGGGATCTTAAAGATTATTTCAGAAGATAGAGCAAAGCATCAAAAATCAGAACATAAACACAGTTCTTGTTCTACAGGGAAGGATGCTCAGGTGCAGGAGTTTGTCTCAGGTGTCATGACTTTGGAAAAAAAAACTTAAAAAATTTTTATTTGAAAATCCTGCCTTTCAAGAGTAGGATGCAGTCTGGACCTGAGATAGCTCCAGCATTAAGGACAGGACAGGCAAAAGATGCCTTTCTAACAATGACTCCTTCAAACATGCTCTGTTTCCTCTAACAGTTTATGGCCCAATTCCACGAGAAGATCTACCAGATGCTCAAGAACCTGTTACAGTTGTCTCCAGAAACAAAGCACAGGATTTTGTCCTGGCTGGGAAACTGTCTCCATGCTAATGCAGGCCGTACCAAAATTTGGGCTAATCAGATGCCAGAGATCTTCTTCCAGATGTATGCCTCAGATGCCTTCTTCCTGAATTTGGGAGCTGCACTCCTGAAGCTGTGTCAGCCCTTCTGCAAACCAAAATCTCCTAAGCTGCTAACCTTTAATCCTACTTACTGTGCCCTAAAGGAGCTGAATGAAGAGGAGAGGAGGAGTAAGAATGTACATATGAAAGGTATGCCCAAAACCTGTGGGAGTAAGTGAATTAGACAGGGGATCTCTGCAGTTCCCTACCTCTCCCAGCAGTGCACCCTTGCTGTACACCAGTAAAGGGATAGAGAAATGGAGCACTACAGGGGAGCAAAGGAAGAACTGAATACAAATAAAACATTGCCCAGCATCACCCGCAGTCATTTCATTTTATCAGTGGGAGCCATCTTCAGCACTCTTTCCTTACCAATGCTTCTGGGTAGGACTTAATGCAGAGATGTTTTTAATTCTAGGTTTAGAGAAAGAGACGTGTTTGATACCTGCTGTGACTGAGCAAGAGCCAGAGTTTGCAAACAGCTACAATCTGGTGACAGAAAACCTGGTCCTAACACAATACACCCTTCACTTAGGATTTCACAGGTAATGGTTCCGCAGCTGTATGAGTGTTTTTAAGGAGCTGATCTCTGAGAAGGTGTTAGATGTGCTACCAAGGCATGCACTTTGCAAGAATAGTATCTGATATTCAGAAAGACTGTGGATGTTAAAGCTGTAGCTAAATGATTGCTCCCAGCACTGTTTTGTATCGGTGTATGGTTACATAAATTTTTACTAAATACTCAAAACTTAGAGTGAGACACTTGAGTTGCCGAATGCCTTTCACAGTATGTTTCGAGTGACCATTGAGCATCGGGCTGACTAATTCTGTGAAGAAATTCTGTTCGCTTGTGTTCAGTCAAAGCTGACAGGAGTCCATGTTATTTATAGTGTCTTAACAGCTCAGCTCCATGCTGGATTGGCATGGCTCAGTCAGTTCTCAGACCTTCTCTGAGAGAACAGGCCTGTGTCCGTTTGCTTATCTGCTAGAGAGCATCTGAGTAGCAGAGTACCTGCCCACTGTGAAGTGTCTGAACTGGCCGACTAAATGCATTTTAATTGAAACAGAAATGCAAGGTAACTGGCTGTTTCCAGGAAACAGTTTTCTGGACACCAGAATGCACTGTTTTTCTTAGTCTTCTGCAAATTGTTGCCTGGATACTATGAGGTCACTGCTGATCCGAGCCTAGTCCCCTTCTGGTTTATTATCTAAATATAGAAATAGATGAAAAAGTTATGCAAGTGGCTTGTTGCTGGGAAACTGAAAATGTCACCTCACAGGCATCTCCAAGGCTTACCCACTCCCTGACCTTGGTAATCTAACAAGGTTTGCAGCTGCGTAGTCTCGTTATCTGCTCTGCTGAAGAGTGTTTCACGGGAGCTGTTGGTTTACCAGGCTGTGTAACAGACTTCTTTGGCTCCTCAGGAGGATACCTTATCCTCCCAAGTGGTGGCTTGCCTTTCTTCAAGTGCTTCCTGCTGCTGGCCCCCAAGCGGATTATCTGCAGGAAATAGTTTGAATTGAGAGTACACTTGCTGCGTTGCAGCCTCCCTGCTGCTCAGAGAGGGAAGCAGCACACCTGGTCAAGCTGGCAACGTTTTGAAGTCTCGCAGTGGCAGCTGCACAAAACATCTCTCACAGTGTGTGGTGACTTGTGTTTCACTTAGGCAGTCCGTACCAAACTTATTTGCATCTTTTCTGGTGTCTTCCTCACCTTTTTTTTTTTTTCTAGGTTGCATGACCAGATGGTAAAGATAAACCAAAGCCTTCACCGCCTGCAAGTAGCATGGCGAGAAGCTCAGCAGAGTTCTAGCCCTGCTGCTGACAGCCTCAGGGAGCAGTTTGAACGCCTGATGACCATCTATCTCTCCACAAAGACAGCGATGACAGAGCCACAGATGCTGCAGAACTGCCTGAATCTGCAGGTGTCCATGGCAGTTCTTCTGGTGCAGCTGGCAATAGGAAACCAAGGGACTGAGCCTCTAGAGCTGACGTTCCCATTGCCAGGGGTGGAAAACAGTGCATTGGCCTACGTACCAGGTGAAACCTGCTTCTCCTGCTGCTTTGTGGCTGCTGTACGTGAGGGTCTGAATCTAAACTGACTTAAGTAGCGCTCTGCACTTGAGCAGGGCGTAACATCAACAGATAGCTGCTGGGTGTCACCCTGATAGGTGAAGTGAATCCAGTGCATAACAAGTTTCATCAAGCTGAGTAGTTCATTGTGATCGCGGTGTTCTAATACAACTACTTAGTTCTAGAAACTTAATCAGAATCAGGGAGGTAAGCTAAGTACATGAAAGGCCAAAAAGCAGGCTGTGAGCTGCACAAGGAGGAACTGATATACAATCTCTGTTCACAGAATTCTTCGCAGATAATTTGGGCGACTTCTTCATTTTCCTGCGACGCTTTGCTGATGACATTTTGGAGACTTCTGCCGATTCTCTGGAACACATCCTCCACTTTGTTACTGTTTTCATGGGTGATGTGGAGAGGTACGTACAGCTCCAGTTGTAAGCCCTTTATGCTTTTCTGCAGAGCACCTGTAGTTCATTGTAGTTCATCTTGGCAGTAATCTACAGCCTGACCTTGGGCAGACTGTTCAGCTTCTGCCCCACGGGTGCAGTAGAGAATTATGCCTTCACCTTGCTCAGTGTCCTGTCATGCACTGGAAAGCAAGCTCAGCAGGCAAGGGACTTTGGACTTTCAGAATAAATAGGAAACAAGTCATTGGGCAACAAGTACAAAGCCGGGCTGACAAGTCGTGTTTGCTCAGAGAAGCTACAGCTGACAAGCAAGCGTGGCTTGCCAACAGTACGCCCTGCCAGAATTCTGTTCTGTGAGGGATGGAAGCAACAGCTTTGATATTTCCCGTACCTGTTCCCCTTTCTGTCTGAGATTTAATTATGGGTGCTGACTGCCTGCATTCTTCCTGTGGCTCTGGGCAGCTCAATGCCAGCATCAGTTTTACAATAGTTCGCAACAGCTGGCTGCTCCTCTATGGATGGGCACAGCTCCTGGAGCATTTTCACTACAGTTAAGTCCCCCCTGCGGCCCTCGTGCCATGCTGAATTTGCATTTTTTTTCTCTTGCAGAATGAAAAATCCTCATCTGCGAGCCAAGCTGGCAGAAGTGCTGGAAGCCTGTGATGCCTCATTTAGATCAGGTCCAAAATCCACTCGTCTCCAGTGTGTTTCATCGCAAGCGAGTATTCTGCTCTTACCAGCATGCTGCCCATCTTGCTGAGGCACTTATTAAAGTCTTTGTGGATATCGAGTTTACTGGTAGGTGTGAAAGGGGAAGAGGTGCCTTCCTTCTGTAAAGTCTGTAGCGGGATGACTTTGGGTTGTGGAGTACTTCAGTAAAAACAGATGAATCTTTATGTTGTGTGAAATTGCTCAAGTGTTTTAGACAGAAAGCATTCCAGCAAAGCGCTGGTCTTTCCAAGCTTCTCACTTGTGCAGGACTACATTACTAAAAAGTGTAACCCTCAGAGCACAAATTTTTCAGCAAAGTAATGCTTATAATTACCCATCCTCTTATACTACGTGGGATCTGTTGTGCAGCTTTGAAATCAGTGTCAGATGTGACTTCTCAAGGAGCTGGTTTTATAATCCTGTGAGAGCAAGAGGAAGAAAAGCATGCTGTTAGAGGAAATGTATATATCATGTGCATGCAATTGGGACTTCCTGCTCTTTGAAATAGGAGATTTGCTTGAGCTAAAGCTGCCCTTCTTACCTGTCCACTGGCATATCAGCTGCTGCTAGGAACACTGGCCTCCTGCTTGGGATGCTGCCAGGCACACTGAGTATCCATTGGCACTGCATCCTGCTATTATAAAAGTATCCTGATAGCTACTGAGGTGACGTTAAAAAAAATAATAATAATAAAATAAAGCCATGGCCTCAGCAGCTGCGTGTCTCCCCCGGCTATTGTTCCACAGACCTTGCTTGCCATGCTCTGATGCTCTGTGGCTGCTTGGTGCTAGTATGGTCACGGTAGTGCTCACATTCACTGGAAACTGCTGAACTTTTTTTTGTTGAGGAAGCAACAGAGAAAATTGTGCTCTGACCGCTTGCTGGCTGTTGACGCATTCAGCGCCCCAGCTGCGTGCACTGGGAGGTCAGAGTTTTAGCTTTCTGAAGAAAACGCAGCCTGCTCCCACGCAGTGCTAAACAAACATTGGAAAGGAATTTAAAATCCTTCTCCGTGCCCACAGCCAATTTGCAATGCTCTTCTGCTTGTGTCTAGGTGACCCACATCAGTTTGAACAGAAATTTAATTACCGACGTCCAATGTACCCCATCCTGAGATACATGTGGGGCACAGATTCATACCGACAGAGCATAAAGGTAAGGCAAGAGGCATACATGTAAGCATGCATATCTAGCTCTTCATGCAGCATATGGATTTGTGTCCTGCAGTCTGGAGTGTGCCAGAGCATTAACCGTTTTGTTGTTGTTCGCAGGCTTTGGCTGATTATGCCTCAGAGAACCTAGAGGCAATGAATCCCCCTCTCTTCTTGCGCTTCCTTAATTTGCTTATGAACGATGCCATTTTCCTGTTGGATGAAGCCATACAGGTAGGGTTTACTACATGTGCTGCAGGCATCATGTAGCAACCAGTTCTCACTCACTTGAAGATGGCTCGTTACAATATTGACTCACATTCTGAGTTTTGTTAAAGGTATGCAGTTGTGACCCTTTTCAAATGCTCTGTACCTTTTTCTTGCTGAATGGGCCCCTGTCAGAGTGGAAAAGGCAGTATCTGAGATCTTGCCATTAAGTTTCACAGGGCAGTGAGAATACAAAAGCACTATAACACAAGGGAACTTTTACTTACAGCTTCCTACAGTTTTGGAATCTTAATTAATTCCTGGTGTTCCAGTCTTGAAAAATACACTTCTTTTTTCTGCCTGTCTCACCTGAGATAAGGCAGATCAGCAGTGGGACTTGTTGCTTTCTGATAACGTTACCTAGATGTGTTAAACTGGAGTTAGCCATAGGAAAGTCTGTGGGATTATACTGATTCACCAGAGGAGATAGTCTGGGAAGTGGATGCTCTCTATGCTTAGCACCTAAAGCTGTGATGAACATCTATGATGACGGTTTTTTCTTTCCTTGGTTCAGAAAACTTCTGTCTGTGCTTGTAGGTTGCAGACTGAAGGTACTGTGTGTGAGGAGCAACCTCAACTTCTTTAATCAATACTCGTTAAGACATTTTGTTTTTTAACACCTCCCTGATATTGCTCTTGGGCATGGAGGGAGCAGTCTGGGTTAGCTTCTGTAGCCTCTTTACCTGCCTATTCTCCCGAGGCTGCTGTAGGAGACATCTTACTTGTTTCTCTAACAAGCACGTGCCCCTTCTGTGCCCTGAGGTGATTGCCTGGCGGAAAGGAAAGCATTCTACTTAATAAAGCTGTGTACTCAGACTGCTGCTCCCATGTTCTTCCCTGCTGTGTTGTTACAGTACCTCAGTAAGATTAAAGTTCAGCAGATAGAGAAGGACCGCGGTGAGTGGGACAGCCTGTCCCAGGAGGCTCGTCGGGAGAAGGAGTCAAGCCTGCAGATGTTTGGTCAGCTGGCTCGCTTCCATAACATCATGTCCAATGAAACCATCGGGACTCTGGCCTTCCTGACCTCAGGTAGGGAGAGCAAATCCTGTCTGCTGGGAGCTGTAGAGCAGCCTTGCCTGGGAATCAGGGGGGCCTAATTCAGTTTAAGGATTGTCAGAGAGGGACTGGATTACTGTGAAGCTCAGGGAACTATTGGTTTCTGTTCCAGAAATTAAGTCCCTGTTTGTGCATCCTTTTCTTGCTGAGCGCATCATCTCCATGCTAAACTATTTTCTTCAACACCTGGTTGGCCCTAAAATGGGAGCTTTGAAAGTCAAGGATTTCAGCGAGTTTGACTTCAAACCGCAACAGCTAGTTTCTGACATCTGTACGATCTACCTGAACCTTGGGTATGTGACAAGGGAGAGCTGGAGGTGGGATGTCAGGAGGTGCTTGTGGAGAGTGGCAGCCTTTGGGTACTTGGACTTGAGACTCTTATGAGTGTAAACAGGATTTTGTCTTCTGTTGGACGCTGATGCTTGGAATGAAGTGGAGAATCTGATTTGGCCTAAAGTAGGACTTGCTGTGACATGCACACCAGTGTTTGCACTGGGATGGGAACTGTAGCAGGAGTCAGGTGAACATCTGGAGCAGCAGAGCTCTGTAGCCTCCTTTGCCACAAGGTGGGAGTGTTTTCCAGCAAGACCGATGTTAACAGAAGTCCGTAACGGACCTTTCAGAAGCGCAGTGTGCTCATTTGTAGTAACTTCTAAATTATGCAGGGAAGTCAGCTGCAACTTGATAGGAATAGAAGTTGAGCATAATAGCAGTTAAATGTGTAAATTGGGTCTCTCTGGAAAAAAACCTAGGAAAACTGCTTAATCCCGGTCAAGATTTTCTCTGGTTTTCATGTCTCTCGACATGAAAACTGTTGGGGGGACTGCGTTTTGCAGCCTGATAAATAAGAATTCTTAAACTCTTCTCATTTACCTTGTGGTTCAGGGATGAAGAAAATTTCTGTGCCACTGTACCCAAGGATGGACGTTCCTATTCACCAACGCTCTTTGCCCAGACAGTAAGGGTTCTGAAGAAAATCAATAAGCCTGGCAATATGATCGTGGCTTTCAGTAACCTGGCTGAGAGGATCAAGGTGAGAGATGGAGGGAATAAAAGCCAAGAAAAAGAAATGCAGTTGGCATCCTTTTCCATCTGTTTATCACTGCATCTTTGCTGTGAGGCTGCAGTTCTGGGAAATGGTGCTTGATATGAGGCACCAGGCTGGGCAGCTGAGAAGGCTCCTTTCTGGTGTGCACCTGTAAATGTCTTAGACAATTCAAGAACTGGATGCTACAGAGGTATAAGCATGCAGGGTGAAAAATCAAAATGTGTGGCTTACAGCAACGCCTGGGCTTCCTGACTACCAGCGTGTTAACTTCCAGTAGGAAATCAGTGTGTCAGAGCTCAGGCTCTCAGACCTGAGCTACATTTTTGCATATTTCAAGTGACCCTGTTAAATAGCCATTGCCTTGACCAGCTGTGATGTTTTCATGTTCTAGGGAGGCTTTTTTTCAGTCATGGTGATGCCTCACTACTAGTTACGAGCAAACCTGTTTTTAAATGAAGTGGAACAGCACTGAGAAATCTTGTGTTTTAAAAGCTGTGTGTGCTTGCCAGTCTCTTGCAGACCGTCAGCAGCAAGAAGAGGAGACATACGCAGACGCCTGTGACGAGTTCCTGGATCCTATCATGAGCACTCTGATGTCTGACCCGGTAATACTGCCATCGTCCCGTGTCACCGTGGATAGGTCAACCATAGCCCGGCACTTGCTCAGGTACGAAACGTAGGCTTAACTGTGTCCTTGGGTCAGGTTCAGCTTCCTTTGTCACCGACTGTTCTTTGTGCCAGTGACTTGTGCTTTTCCAAGTTGGAAGCTTGGGATGGGGTGGGTACACATCTGCAGTCTCCCTCACTCCCCAATTTTCCAGTTTGCTCTGAAGTCCAGGGCTTTAATGATTCTGTGTTCAGAATCACCTGGAACCTGGTCTCAAGCGTGACTTTTCTGAAATAAGTTCCAGACAGTGATTAAAAGTGTTTGTGTTTTTTCTGACTTTATCCCGGAGATGGAAGTACAGAATAGATTATGCAAATGCTGACTTTAGTGAGGGACAGTTTGGTTATTGGATGCAGATATTTATATGTCACTCTTGTCTGGGTTTTTCACTAAATATATCTAATATATCTATATCTAGCAAGGAGACGGTTGAAGTAATCTCCTCACTGCTCTCTTTCAGTGATCAGACGGATCCTTTTAATCGGAGCCCCCTCACGATGGACCAGATTAGACCAAACACGGAGCTGAAAGAAAAGATCCAGCAATGGCTTGCGGAGAGGAAAAAGCAGAAGGAGGACTTGGAGGACACACTGAATTGAGAACAAAGTTCTACATCCCCAGACATGCAATCAGTCAGTTGGCAGGACAATTGTCTTTTAAGGGTGGTGGTGGGTGCTCCAGAGCATCTGTGAAACTTGCCACAGTGAATGAAGAACGCATCCAGTGCATTGCGCCACGTCTGGAATCTCTCCTAGTACCTGCTCTTTTATCCCTTACTCTGTCTTTCCTTTCAAGACTTACTGTTTAATACTAAGAATTTCCACTGCACTACAGCTTCCTAGCCTCTGCATCCTGGGAAGATTCAGCCTCTTCTGATTGTCCTGGTGCCCTGGCCCTCTATTCACTGCTCTTTGTGTTGGCTGTTTCTAATGGCCGCGTGACCTTTCCTTTGCTCCCCCACCCTCTGTCCTGTTGTTTAGCCTATGTAATCATGCTCAATGTCAAAAGGATGCCTCTGCATCTGCAGCAGCTCTCACCTGGAGATGTGGGAAAGGACAGTTCCGCGTGTTTGTACAGGCTGAGCGCGTGCCAGGGCTTCTTTTTCAAGTGATACAGAGGAACAAGGGGTGATGATAAATAGGAACAAGGGGTGATGATATGCAATACTTGCCTCACAGCCGCCTGGGGAGGGCCAGTGGCCATGAGAGCTCCTTCAGGGGGCGGAGGGAGGTGCGCGTTGTGCGTTGCGGGGAGGGTAACCACGAGCCTGGGGTTTTTTCCAGTTCCCAGCGCCGGCCAAGGCGGACCCGGGTCTCGAACCCGCGTCCCGGGCAGTTGCCGCGCCCCGCCCCGCCCACGTGGTGCGGGGTCCCGGTGCCGTTGCGCATGCGCGGCGGGGCGGGGCGGGGCCGTGCGGCGGGGGTGACTTTGAGCCATGGCGCAGGCGGCGCAGCGCCTCGGGCAGCGCCTGGCGGCCCGCGGCCCGCAGCTCCTCAGCGGTGAGACCGGGAGGGAGCGGGGGGGGACGGAGGGGACCGGGAGGGATTGGGGGGGACCGGGGGAGAACCTGGGGGGGGGGCCGGGAGCCGAGCCTGACGCCGGCCCGTGCTGCCCCGGCCTCCCCCCAGCTGCCGTGGCGTACTCCAAGCCTCGCCTGGCCACGTTCTGGTACTACGCCAAGGTGGAGCTGGCGCCGCCGACCCCCGGAGAGATCCCCAAGGCCATCGACAGCATGAAGGGGCTGGTCAGGAGCTTCCAGACCGGCCGCCTGGCGCAGATCACCGTCAAGGTAACCCCCCGGGGGTAAGCGGCCCTTATCAGGCCATCCCCAGCCCTTATCAGCCCCATCCCCGGCCCAGACCTGACCGGGCTGCTCCCGGCGCTGTGCGCGTTCCCTCACAGGCAGCTCTCGGTCTGGGGTCTCCTTCGCGTGCCCTTGCACACCCAGGGGTTTCTCCTCGTGGTCGCCTCTGCCGCTGTCTGCTTGCCACCGGTGTTTCTGAATGTGACCTTTGAGTCTGTTAATTGCTGTTACACGCCTAGGGTTGCTAGCAGTAAGGCATCAAACTCTTTTATCCGTTTCTCTCTGATATCTGTTACGAGCGTTCTGAGCTGTATTGAACTCCCAGAGCATTACGTTATGGTGAGGCCTCAGATCTGTCTGTTCCGAACAGTTCTGGTTAGGCTTAAATTGCAGCAAAGACAGGGCCTGCCTTGGGGTGATGCTTGCAGAGATGGCATTTCATGGCTAGGAGAGGTGAGCCTGTAACGATGTGTGGCTCGTGCTGTCCTTGAGGGGTTCCTGCTCGAGCTGGACAGTCTCTAGTTCTGCTTATCTCATTAATCCTTGGTGCTGCAGTCTGAGACGTGCTGCTCTCTGTTTCCAGCACGCTACAAGCACACGAAGGCGCTGTCTCAGTGCCTGTGTGTCCACCAGGGAGCTGAGACTGCATTTGGGTCTTCCCAGTCTGGCAGCTGAGCCAAAATCCTGCATTTTGGCTGTGTGGGCATCCTTATCCGTCACGTGCTCCCCAAACCAGGAACAGATCTTTAATGGGTGTTAAAATCTGATCAATGGGGTGACTTGAGGGCAAGAGGGAACAAGTCAGACAGCAGAAGTAAACTTGCCATCTCTCTGGAGAATCCCTGCTGCTTTAGATGAGGTTCTGGATAATGCTTGGGATCTCTCTGCCACACTAAGGCCTGTGTTATTCGTTGTGACTGTTTCATCTTATTGTCCTTGTCAGCTTATTTTCCTTGTGTCAGTTTTTGCTGTTAAATTGGGCCCTCTGCTGCACATCTTGACATATTCTTTTCTTCTCTCAGCCACCTATCCGTGGACCTTTCCCTTTGTTTCTCCTCAGTCCTTCTTAAGAGCCATCCCATTGCCTCAGTGCTCTGATTTCTTTCTGAGGCTTTTCTGCCCCCTTTTACCTGTTCCCTGCAGCAAAGCTTGATCAGACAAGCTTCCTGTCTCCTCCTCCTGCACCCTTTGTGGAATTCAGCATGTTAAATGATCTCATCTGGACAGGATTTCTGTTGTCAGCCTCCTGTGTGAGGGAACACATATAAGAATCACGTCCAGTGCTGTGATACGGTCTTTGTAAAACTCACACGTGCAGTTCACAAATATATTTGGTGTATCGATAAAATCTATGGCCTGCTCAGAGACAGTGCTGGCTGTCGCTGCACCCCTGCCCAAGTAGCACAGCGCGAGATCAGCCGTCCCTGTGGTGCACCAGCCCATCCCTGAAGCCACGAGTAATGGCTGAGCCTGGAGATGAAAAGGCCCTGGCAAATGCTTGTGTAGCCTTATGTACATAGGCTCCGTTTGCCCAGGAGGAAGCTTATTCCACCCCCACAATTAAGACTGGACTTGTGCCTGATGAATTTCTGGTATTCCTCTCCATAGCCCTGTGAATTCAAATGCATTTAAACGACCTTGTCTTGCATATGAGCAGCATCTTTCTGACTGTACCGAGCTCTTGTCTGGGCGACCAGCATGTAGCAATGAATCTGTAGTTGTGGAGCACGCCTCTTGTGGAGTGTTCCTTGTCTCAGTGCCCTTCTGTGCAGATTAGTTGGAAAGGGGGTGAAGAATGCTGCTGTTACGGAGGAAGTGGGTAGCACAGCTGAGGTCAGTATTTACTTGCTAGGAAAGGAAGAGACGGGTGTTCTTCACAAACCTCCCAGCTTTCTGTCTTTGTGATACTGTTCCCCTGTTGACTTCCAAAAAAATGCTATATACAAAAATTTATCTTTTTTTCTGGGTAAGCTGAGGGATAGAATAGTTCTGCTGCCTCTTCAGACTCTGACAATGGTAGTCTGTGAGCCACAGATACTCAGCGCACAGAGCAGTATTTTCCAAGACCTGGCTTCACTACTGGCGTGCTAGCTGTGCTTTGCTCGTGCCATGAAAACAACTGAGCTGCCATCAGTAATACTTGAAGTTCAAGGAATTTGAGTCAGGAGTTGGAAGTGTTACACTACTTGAGCTTTGTCTCAACTCTTCCACATCTCGACCACAGCTATTCTGTCATCCCTTTGGGCCCTCCATTATCTGCTCAAGTGAAGAGAGTGAGGTGACGGAGCTGTAGGTAACAGCTGTGTCCAGCCAAAGCTGGACAGAGAGAGACGTGTCATCAGTCCAACACATTGCTTGGCCTTGAAATTAGATTGTTTCCTGCAGATACAGTTTTAGAAATTATCTTCTTAAAGGGCTCTAAAAACTACGAACGCCAACTGAGGCTATATTTACCATTTTAGAGCCCTTGTAAAAATGTGGCCTGTTGAGGTGTGGGTGAGCATAACAAACACTAACTTGCACATCTGTTTTTTGCTTAAACTGTTGTCTTGTGAATTGGGTGACCACTTCGCTAGTCATGCATGGAGTTTGGTTACAGGAGCAAGAAAGGCAGCCGTTGCAGGAGCAAATGTTCTAAACTGTGTTGTGTTTTTTTTTTTTTTTTCTTTCAGGAAGCACTGAGGAACGGTTTGGTGGCCACAGAGGTGCTGATGTGGTTTTACATTGGTGAGATCATAGGCAAACGGGGCCTGATTGGATACAACGTCTGAAGACTCATCCTTAGTTACGCTGTTTGCTGCTGTGGCCCTGAGCCTGTTAGAGCATCTACATAAATAAAGCCAGGAGCTGATGTAGAATTGTTGTGGTCTTTTTGTGGTGGTTGGGACGTGAGCCTGTCTCTGATCTGGCAACATCACCAGTGGTGGAGAACGGCTTCTCTAACGCGTAGCTGCCTGAAGGGCAGCCCCCTCTGCACATCAGCACGTGCTGGTAATGTGACTCCCCGTCCTCTGCCCCTTCCCCAAAACATGAAATGGTGTTAAAGCTGGCTTTGGTCAGCACTGCTGCTCATTGTGATTTCTGTCCTAGTTCTTTGGGTAACTTCTGTGTGACTTCAGCTACGGCGTTATGGAAGTCTGGAGAGAAACCATTTCAAACTGACCACACAAATGCTTACACTTGTTTCTGAATATATATCCCACCAGAGAGTGGGAACCTAAAAGGAATTGTAGTATTTTAAGGTATTGAAGGATGTCTTGGCACTGTGTATGTCACATGGTCTAGTGCATTGTTTTGCATGGTTCTGGTTTGTGGTGAAACGTGCGGAAGCCTTCAAAGGTGAGCAGGCTGTACGTGTCAGCTCACAGCCGCCTAAAAGTGTGAGCTGTCCAGATGTTCACAAACTTGCTCAGTTTCAAACAACTTCAGTAGAACTATATAGAGCAACTTGGTAAGTTTAACTGCATCACGACACAGTCCTCTTCTCTCAAGGTGTTCAGAAAATAATCTGCAAAAGGTCTCTGAAGCTGGCCGTCTCATTTGAATGTGGCTTAACTGCTTTTATTGACTTAGAAAATGGTCTCCAGTCAATATTGCTGCTTGGTGCTACTGTCTTTGCCTTCCCTGGGCCTGTAAGCAGTACAGTTTGCTTTTCTGCCTGCAGCTGAGATGACTTTCCCAACACTTCAGGCCAGTAAGAACCCAGAGCCTGGGGGTGCCCTGAGGAAAGGGAACAGGAGAGCCTCTCCTGCTGCAGGGAAACGTGGTGAATCCCCAGTGTGGCTGTACAGGGTGGGTCTGACGTGTTCAAGGAGCCTGTTACACAGATAAGGTGTGGTTAATGTGAAGGAAAGGGGCTCATTTCTTCTGCCTCTGAATGACAGCCCATGTGACCTATCCCTGGTAGGTCCTAGTTTCCTATCCCCAGCAGCCAGCTGTGAGGGGGACCTGTTGGGCCTCTTAGAGGGGCTGTAGCACACCCACTACTGAGGGACATGTCAAATGTGGAATTAGAAGTGTGACTGTGATCTGCAGGTTTTGGGCCCCAGCGTCAAGGAGCCTACCTGAAAGCAAGTCTGCACGATCCTGTCCCACTCAGAGCCTGGTGTGCCTGTGCCTCTCCTTCCTCCCCAGGCTGTGCTGCTCTCCCCAGCTTGCCGGCACTCACACGCAGCCCCAGTTTGACAGCAGTGCTGGGCTGCAGGGGCTGTCACATCGCTTCACTTGCAACATCTGATTAAACGTGACTGGTAAAGGATGAGAGGGCTTGGAAACACTCCAGTCCCCTTCACGCTCCCTGGCGAGACAGCACCCATTTAATTTTAATAGACATTTTCTTC